GTTGATAATATGCCCATACGCGTAGAAGATGTCAATTCCATGCCAGGAGAAGCATTCGCCAGCCAGCCAGGAGCATTTTCTCGTGTCAGACCGCAGCCCTGTTGATGCGGTTTTGGCTGCTCTCTCACGTGGCGGACCCTTGAAATCTTCGGCTTGAACGGACCACCTCTCATCCTGGCAAGCTCTGGCTGGTATGCCGAGGATGCCAGGACCCTTGATGAGTCTGGGATGAAGTCGCTGCCCGTATTCCGTACGGACTGAATACACTGGCAAACTGGGTCCCGTAGGAACACTGTGTCGTAGGGATCTTCGGTTTTGGAGCCTGAACCATTCATTCGGGCTCTAGCTCCGCTCCAGCCATTCAAATCCAAACAATTTGAGCGCCAGTAACATGTCACAGAACAAATGCTGAGCTCTTTCAGGATCACGCCCATTTCGCTTCTTCGACTCATGACTGGATTGTTTGGTTGCCTACTGGATAGGTGCAATGGCCACTTGTTTTTGAGATCGAGCACATGGGTATGGTCTGTTGGACGATTGCCCATGATGGACGGCCGTCTGCCCCCCCTTGCAATCAATGTGTACAATACCGGTTCATCGAGCAGCCAACATGCCAAGAGATTCCCTACCGTATTCTACATTTCTTGCTTCATTTCTGTGTAATTGCTGGTGTAGATCAAGAACACGAGACAGGACTTCTTCCTATTGCACTCGGCTTGGGACGATGTTAAGAGCTGCCCTCTCGAATGGCGTTGGCGTGGGCGTTGGCAGCATGACAGAGCAACCTTGAAAATATGTACATGACCTACCAAAACTTATCTGAAGGTTAATGAAATTCACCAGGAGGTGTGCTGTAGTACTGTGTATGTAGTGGCTGTATCCGCCCGGCGGTAACCTTCGACGCTGGAAATTTGTGCACTTTACCATGACGCATACCGTGACCTACTGTACCCTACCTGACCTCCCTACCCCGTCCTACTGCTACCCACACACACACGCACACACACACAATCAACTCCATTGCTTGCAATAAGGCGGCGCTGGCGCGCAGTGCAACAGGCCGATACCCCAAGACAGCAAGTGCCACTTGACTTCCGAGATGACACTGAGATGGGACCGCATTCCACGAATGACCAAACGGCAGACCTACATTTTCTTCATCTAGCAGGTAAGAGGCTATTTTGGTCTCACAACTGAAGCGTCAACTTCCGCGTCAGATCTACAGACGCGAGAGAGTAATAGATTGCCTTGACTCTTTCGGAGATTGGAATGGGATTGGGCGAGACCTTTGCGATATTGTTCCAACGCAACGTCTCGAAGAGGTTATGAATCAGGCAAATCAGGGCCCGGCTTTTGCCTAGGTAGGTTGTCCAACTTTCAAAGGCTTTCTCCTAGATCTTAGATCAGGAGGCGAAAACAACATCGAGCTCGGTGTGATTGAATGGGTAGTTGCCCATAAACAGACGCTTGCATAGGTAGACAGTGTGCCTGGATACCTATTGATAGTCGGGGCTGGCTGCTGGCTCCATCATAGCAGAAACAAGGCTCATCTCTGCAGGAAAACGCGGTCGAACACGAAGAATCAATACAGGTCGACCCAGCCCTAGACGGGTAAGATTTTGTTATTACTTACCTACACAGTAGGCGGCTGATGGCCAGCCAGCAAGCCAGCCAGATTTCTGCTACAGGGAAGGAATGCGCTCTAGAACGTGACCGCGTCACAGACCCAATGCGTGAGGAGACGACTGGATGCATTATTGGACGAGTGTCTCCATTCACCCGTGATGTAGCACCCTCAGTTGCCATCATTACGACAAGCCACCAATTTTTGCGCTCATCTGCTACCTCTTACCACACCATAAAGCTACACACGTACACCGCACCCCGTACGTGTACCTGCCCTACCTTGCGGCAAGTGCCTGGCAGGTCATCAAGAAATTTGTCAGAGGCGTGAGTAGATCTTGACCATTCATACCTCATGGTCTGCAATCTATACAGTCATTGTGATGAGGTCAGCCGGTAAACGAGAATGACGAGTATCTAGCAAACCATGGACCGTAGGTAGTGTGCATTATTTTAGTCCACGTCACAAAAACCTGTGTCTGGCGGTAGGATCACACTCCAAGAGCCCTCACCCAAGAAGAAGGGAGCGGAGGAAAATAAAGAGGTTGATCTCTACCTACTACGTAGGTGCGCAGCCCCGGTAGAGTGGAGAAAGGCAAGAAAAAGGGCATTCAAACTTCAAAGTGTGAGGAATCCACCGCACGCTACGTACCTGCCTTGACTACTAACAATGAACAATCCAAAAGGTGATGAATGCAGATTCGTCCACTTCGCAGGGTCAGTGCCTTGGTGTGGTGGATGATGCGTCAATTATTGCAACCTGGCAGAAGCAGAAGCAGAACGTTACGCGAGTAGTCGCTCTGCATCTGACGGAGTGGATACTCCGTTTTGTCAGCCCCCCTTGTCCACCGATTTTTTCTCCCTCTTTCTCTAAAATTCAAAACCGCCTTTGATCTCTTCTGCAGCTCTAGCGGGAAACACAAGAAGAAGACACTGAGCATGTATTGCCCACACTACTTGGGACTGCCGGTAATATCCTTAAATTCCCTGGATACATGGTATGTGTGTACATAGTTAACCATGTAACCCGCAACAACTTACAAGACAAAAGAAAAAAAGCAGATGTTACCAAAGGCGTACTTGGGACTAATTAAAAATAAAACACAAAATAAAACCATACACAGTAGATGGCCATCCAGGATTAATGATGGGAGCCAGATCCAAATAATGGTAGCTGCGGTTTTTGCTTGCCGGTCAACGTTCAATAATAACCGTGCCAACCATTGATGGACGATCTGCTAGTCCGTTTAAAATTGAATTTTTTTTTTCTTTGGGCCGACTGACTTCTTTGGTTTGGCGTGAAAGAGGTTGGCTTTTGGATAATATTTTTTATTTTGTTCTCCCCCCCTGGTCTTACTTTTGGGATCCATCCTTTGGGGCCCCGGGCTAGCCAGGCTTGAACATTAGTGGAATAGCGTTGCCCAGCTTTGCAAAAATCGACCCTCTGGACCTCTTGTCTCCAGCGGTCATTGTGGAGACACCCACTAGGCCTTGTGCCAGTCAGTGTCGTTTCGGTGCTGTGTTGCCCTGTGCCCTGGGCCCGGTACGTTTTAGTGCAGTCTCCAGTCACCCAGTGCTGTTACTATGTAGTACTCCGTACCGCTAGGTGCTGCTACCAGACCAAACACCCCATCGCTCGCTGGCCACCGCTGTACCTACCAGCATCTACTTTTGCTGGGTCCAACTGCTGGCCCCGGCCGTTCCTTGGGTACCCCCCCCCATCCGGCATCACCATCAACACAAACCTCGCTCTTTTTTCCTCTGCCCACCCCCCGTCTCTTGTCTCGCTTCCCGCCCATAATCTCTCTTTTCTATCCCCCATCTCCCCTCCCCATCTCCCATCCCTCCACCTCGACATCCGCGACTCGCCATTCAAGTTCGAAAACGACCTCTACGACGATTTGGAGACCTGCCATTTCTCACGAGGCCGTCGACGTCCAGGATTCAGGTTTCTTTTACCCTCCGAAAACACTCAGAAAAGTCCAGCAGGTAAAAAGCTGGAACAGGACAAAGTTTCGTGGCAAGGAAAACCAAAAAAAAAAGGTGCACCTGCCATATAAGCCGTGTAGTCTGTGCTGAGAAGCCCCGACCACCTTATTTGCAGACCTGACCGTCCCTGTGGTCTGCGCGCGACGACCAAGTTCCGATTCGATCTGTCTTCGGCGGCTCGACATTCTTCTCATCACGACCTTTTTCAACTGGCCGTCGACTTGCACGGCAAAAATACCCTGTTTCACTGCTGGTCCTTTTCTTTTCCTTGTCTCTTTTTCCTCACTGCTTTGTCCAGTCAATCTCGAGGTGAGTTCATTCATTGCATCGCGATCTTTCATAACCCTCTGGCAACGTCCTTGTGTGTTTTGGTCCGCAACAGCTTCAACGAGACACCTCGACGCCGCTCTCCCATCGCAACAGCGCACGACGGTGTGCGCAACGATCCATAGGCCGTTCAAGTCACTTTGGGAAGAGCACACCAACGAAGCCATCGACATGTCTCTTGACTGCGCTCATTGAGACCGACAAGTTCTCGGACTACTTGCGAACAGATGACAATCGCGACTACACTACGTGTGATTCATCTGCATCCGCGTTTGCATACTTGCAAGCAATACTCTTGCTCACCAACATTGGCTCCTATGCTTCACAAATTTTACGACTAGGTCGACCACAGAATTCTTGGTCTTTCATCAAGCACAATCTCGAAGCCTCTTGTTGCAGACCAAGACACGTACTGACTTTGTCCCATTGTCTTCTGTTTCAATGCCTGTTGGTCATTCAACAATGTGTAACTGACTCGAACACAATCAAAGCAGTGTTTCAAACGATCTCTTTTCATTATTCTCTTTTCCTGAATACCATTATTCGCCCTTACTGGTACTCGACAGCATAGGGCTCCCAGAAACACTTATATCGGAAGACTTCATTGTCACCTTCGAAAATTCATACGCAACCTATAAATTCAAGGCTTGGCTGCTCTTGAATAAAAGTTGTCCTTGAGACAGTTCACAGTTTTTTTCCCCCTCCGCCAACCTCTTGAAAGACTCAGTGCCACCGGCCCGAGTAAATCCTCGCTCCTGATCGCGCGCGAACCGCCGCGACTTGATCAATCCATCTCAGATCCCATCCACTCAAGATTCGACTTTTGGACGGATTGAGTACTCATATGGCTGGAGTCTTGAACTAAGGTTGACCAGACCTTTCTTTCCCCACCCCCCTTCACGACCGTTTCCCTCGTGTGTTTGCTTGTCAGCGCTCTGTGGTCTTAGTCCCACGATTGTCTGACAGCTCTTGCGATTCGAGGCAACACGTGTCAGCCACTCTTTGCTCCGACAAAGGTCTAACGCGGATCTTTGACGGAGTCTTCTCCCACAACCGACAAGATGCCAGGCGGTGTATGTGCGGTCCTCGACTATGAGGTCGAGATGATGGCCGAATATGTTGCTGACATGGCGATGCGAGTTGTCATGCCCAATGCTTCCGTTACCGGTGCTTTCCGCAAATTTGTGACGCAGGTTTTGACCTCGACGCGCTTGCCCAGCACCACGATTCTGCTTGGTCTCAACTACCTCGCGAAGCGCGTTAATGGCTTGAATGCCGCAGGTGGTTTCAAGACCAACGAGGGACAGGTATGGCGCATGCTCACCGTGTCCCTGTTGCTCGGAAGCAAGTTCCTCGACGACAATACTTTCCAGAATCGATCATGGTCGGAGGTCAGCGGGATTGCTGTGCAGGAACTGAACACCATGGAGAACGAGTGGCTTCGTTCCATTGACTGGTCACTCTACGTTAATCTCGACAAGAGCGGCGATTACAACGCGTGGCTGCAGAACTGGAAGGAATGGGCGGCCAGCAAGAAGCAATTCCAAAAGCAGCAAGCTGCTGCCGCTCGCGAGAGACTGGCCCCGTTGGTCACATCAATCCGAAACAACTCTCAGCACCACCCACTGTCGTATGAGGGATGGACCCCAGAGGAGATCTCGGACTACGAACGTGCGCGTCTCGCTCGTGCTTCCTCCAAGTCATTCCGCCCTCGGGAGAACTCGTGGGCAAATGCTCAATACCAAAACGCGTGGTCTAACACTCCCGTGACGCCCCCCGACTCTGGTTATGGTACACCCGAGTATCTCAATTCGGCAACATCCCTCAACAGCCGCTACAATGACTGGTTCAACTCTGCAATCCCAAACACTGGATACAGGGGGTACCAGACTGGCGCTCCGGTGCTTCACTCCAACTACGGCAGACATGGCTGTCACTACCAACACCAGCATCACTACGGCCATTATGGTCACCAGGGGATCTGGGACGCGAATGTTGCTGAATGCAACTGTTCGCAATGTATGGCGACTCTGCATAAGCCCACTCACTACTTCCAACACCACACTTATGGCCAGACGGTCATGGGTTGATGATACGGAACTGGAGGGAACTCGTTATGCATGATTGGCTATTACGTCGTTGGATGCGCGAATGTCAGTTCATGCCTCTTTCAAAAGACATGAATCCGTCTGCCATTCCTCTTTTCATTGGACTCTTCGGCATATTCATGGACATACACTTGATTTCTGATACCCCTACGTACCTGATTGGTCTTGATCAGGTCACGACAACGATATGAGTTTAATTTGTGCTGCGAAGATTCGCCTGAGCCACGCTTACGTCGAGCGACGGGCCAGCTGAAGTCCTACGAAGTGGGACGTTTCGCCTGGTCTGAACTCTTGCGATCGCCTCTTTGGGCACTCTTCTTTTGTTTATTATGATTATTTTCCCATGTCATTCATTTCAACAGGCGTTCTTTTGGCTTCATTACTTTTCGAACTGGTCACTAGGGTTTTTTGTTCCAATAGACCGTGGCTTTCGGTTCGCATTCTATATGGTTAGGCGAAAAACTGCGGATCACAAAGGCGTTCAAAAAGAGGTGGCTCATTTCTCCAAACCTCCTATTTGCAGCAGGAGATTTTTCCTGGCTTGAGCGGGTTGAATTGGCTTCCGCAAATACCTCTTCTTCATGATGCTCGCCAAGCAATAACTCAGCGAAGTACCACAAATTCAAGAGATTGTCTTGCACATGGATTATGGACTTCACAATCGGTCGGCCGGGAGATAAGTCGCTGTGCCGAAGTTGAGCAATCGATCCAACGACAACGAATCGATTCGGGCAAGGCATGGATGCGCACCGCCGCAGACTGATTCCCTCGGACGCTATACACACAAAAGGGGGGATCGTTGCAATACATTGCATTCAGCAGACATGAGGCGGATCAAAAATTTGGTTTCTTTTTCCTTCTTCCTATTTCTTTCTCAGCTTGCGTCAGTCTCGTATCTGCAACGCCGGTTTGAGATGTGCAATCATTCAGCGCTGTTCGATGGACACGTGCTGAGACTGTACAGGCCGCGTCACGATGCTGGATATGATGAACAGGCTATACACATGGTTCATACGATCAGCGTTTTAGAGAAGGCTGGTTGTAGAGGTGTACGTGGCAATCCTGCTTTTGACGTCACGCGGAGGATTGGTTTGCTTTTTCTGTTCATGACCCAGAGAGGGTCTTCTCGAATATTTTTTCACGATTGATATGATGAGGTTGGCTTGCGGAGTATTGACTCGCACAGGGGAACATGACGCGAGGCGTACACAACGCAAACACAAAGACCAAAAAAAAAAAAGAACAAACAGACTGTACAGCAAAGCAGGTCGCAGCAAGACACTATAGCTCAGTTCCAAACATGATGGTACATCACTGACGATGTGTTGAGATGGCTTGTCAATAATGCCACCTACTCACCTCAGGCTGGTGTTGCAAGGATATCATCAGTCAGTGCCTGTGATGAGCTGTCACATGTTAATAAAATACTGCATACTAAGCAATACTCTGATATCCCAAACAGTTCCCGTGATTAATTTTGCTTCCCTACAATAAGATGATTTGAACGGTTGTTGGGCTGATGGAAGCTCTCCATCTGCACCGGAATATTCTCGATACAATTGGAAGTGTGCTGATTCAATATTGGACTCGCATATGTGACAACCCATGAAGACATGATGAGTTGTTCGAAAATATAATTGGGACTTGCATGACGTGATTTATGAGACACTTGACCAATGATTTTAACATGCTTGTGACCAGCATAGTGGCCGATTGTTGGCCAATTTTTATCCCTCTGATATCTACTAGACAAGGCATTGAGGGATCCGCCGGCACTGGGGAAAAAAAAATGTAACGGTCAAAATAATGATCCGAGGCGGGCTCGATCCGCCGACCTTCAGTGTGTTAGACTGACGTGATAACCAACTACACCATCGGACCTCTGATTGGTTGATGACGACAATTGTTTAGCACACACTATGTTGCATGTGAAAACTGATCGTCACCGACCAAACTGGGCAAAGACGCGTGACTGGACTGATGGACGTGGATCATTATTCGTTTGCGACTGCGTGGAAGATCGATCAGGAACCTGCCAACAGGGAATAGTATGTATGTTATTTAAATGATTTTATTTTGCGCATATGAGCATATGTGACTTAGTTTATGTATAAGAGGTTCTGGTCAGGATCTAGTCTCTATAATAGCAGTATCTTGTGAAGGTTGTGCCAAGCTCATGAATCGATTCTGTATGATTGAACACTGGCATAGTAACAAAAGTAAAGGCACATTTTATAATGATGTAGGCCAGTGAATGATGGACCTCAGGGCCCACTGCTACTCAACGTAGCATGGGACTGCGGTGAGTAATTGACCACAATATTGATCTTCCTTGACTGAAAATTGAGAGAAACCATGGAGCAAAAGGAGTTCTCAGAGTGTTGCAAGGATGCAGAGGAGTAAAACCAAGTCCATCGCATGGATCCTGACTGCATGAGATTGCAAGCGATCATGTCATGTCACATGTACTTCTTTCCGATTTCTCATTTCTTTGGCTATGAAAGTCCGTCAATCAGTAAGGGACATTGAAAGAAGAAAGCGTGGCCGTGGTATTCAATATCGGAGCCATGTTGGTAATATTACAACTGCGTCTATCGTCATGGTCTCCACTATACCTGGCCTCGCTCCGTGACTCATGCATATTTATGCATAGAAGTTGACCGTCTGTGATGATTAGCTTCAAGAATATTGGGCCATTGATATGCGAGTAACTCACCTCCTTCTTCTTTGCCTGCACCTCGGTAATGGCATCTACATAGTGCTCATGACCAATCTTGTTCTTTCCCGAGCGCAGGGCAATCATACCAGCCTCGACACAAACTGCCTTCAGCATGGCACCACCAAACTCGTCGGTACTGCGGGCCAACTCGCCCCAGTTCACACCATCGCTAACCCTCATCTTGCGCGAGTGAATCTTGAGAATCTGTGCGCGAGCTTCTTCATTAGGAAGGGGGAATTCGATCTTCCTGTCCAGACGACCTGAACGCAGCAAGGCAGGATCCAGTACGTCGACTCTGTTGGTGGCGGCCAAGACCTTAATTCTGTCATCGGAAGCGAAACCATCAAGTTGGTTCAGGAGCTCCAACATGGTTCTCTGCACCTCACGATCACCACTCTTCTCGGAATCGAAACGTTTCGTACCGACAGCATCTAACTCGTCGATGAAGATGATGGCCGGGGCCTTCTCCTTGGCTAGAGCAAAGCAGTCTCGAACAAGCTTGGCACCGTCACCGATGAACATTTGAACAAGTTGGGGACCCGCAAGCTTCAGGAATGTTGCGTCGGTCTGGGCGGCGCAGGCTCGGGCCAAAAGTGTCTTGCCGGTACCGGGCGGGCCGTACATGAGAGCACCTATCGGCTGTTAGTATGCGAATCAATCATGTCGTGTGGATAATATTAAAGAGAATTACCCTTTGGAGCCTTGATGCCAATTTTCTTGAACCGCTCAGCCTCCTTCATGGGCCACACAATAGCCTCTACCAACTCCTCTATTTGCTTGTCCAGACCACCAACGTCACTGTACTTCTCTGTCGGCTTCTCATCAACCTCCATTGCCTTGACTCTGCTATCATATTCAGCTGGCAGAGTGTCAAGAATCAGGTACGAGTCCTTATTGACACCAATCAAGTCACCAGGCTTGAGCTGCTCGGGATCGACGAGGCCGATGAGCGGGAGGAAAATGGTTTGTCTAGTAGACGTCTTGATCACCGCAGACTTGCCCACTCTCGTAGCATCGAGATCGATATTTGCACCTTCTTCGGAAGATTCGGCGGTCGGGTCGAGGTCGAGAAGCTCGACTACGTTACCGACGAGGTAGGGTAGCTGTCTGTAAACAATGGATTAGCTGACGCAGATGACAAGATGGTGGAAGAGCGTCGCATACCTGTTGTTGGCAATCTTCTCCATATTCTCCTTGATCTTCTCTGCCATGGTGGCCTTCTCGTGCGATAACCGTTGGTACTCGCTCTTCATGATTCTGGTGTCATTCTCGAGTAGTCGTTTCCGCGTTTGGAGGTCCTGGGTGCTGAGGTTGAGAACCTCCTCGTCCAGAATATCCTCCTCTTCGGGTGCATCGTCTTCCATCTCGGCATCTCCGTCATGGTCGGGCTTCTTGTTCTGGTCCTTATCTCCGTCGCCACTGCCGTTGTTCTGCTTCTTCTCTTCGGGCTCACGTTGCGTGATGCCCTCCATATCCTGTGAGCTTGACATGGTGAGATGCGCTGACTAAGATGGGAATGGGGGAACGGAGTAATGTGGATGAAGGTCTTCGTCGAGCTGCAGTTAGGGCTGGCTTGCTTGTCAAGCACGAAAGGCGCTTGAAAAGGGATGGATGAAGTTGGGTGCTGTAATGATGGCGTGGTTGTGATGGTACAATCAGTTGTTCAGGTGAAGCTCTAAAGCGCAAGGCCCCGGGGCTTTGAGCGTCCAGCTACAAGGCGGGCAGGCAGGCGCTGCGTCGCGTAATCAGCCTGATGCAGAAAGCGGGGTGCGATTTTGGAGCTGATAGCAGGGCTTAGTGTGAGACAAGAAGGCTTAGTTGCATAGCTTTATGACGTTATTGCATTTCAGCTCCACACTAGCTCTGAGCTTGAACAGGCCATGGAATTACTATCGTTCCTCAACTCGTCATACTTTCTTTGGTTTACGTCGAGAGAGACCGAGTTAACCAAAAGGCTGCGCAGCACTTCTCAACACAGACCGCAATAGTTGCTCTGCACAACTCAGCCGAGCCGTCTTATACCAAAAACGTAATTTCCATGCGAATAAGCTCCCCTGGAGTCCAACAAATTTCACGGTGGCAGGCCTACTCTGGTCCAGACAATCGGCTCCGTTGCCGCCCGCGGATGCCGCTAAAACCGCTAAACCGGACATCATGACCGATCTGCCTCCATCACCTAGGCTGACTCCCCAGTTCTGCTTCAACACTACAGCTCTGAGAGGTGCGCAAAGTTGAATGCAAGATCCAAGCAGATGAGTACCTGACGAGTACCAGATTTCTTGCGTATATCAAGAGGTGCAGTGGACGACTCGATTACACAGAATCTTAATGCTCTTGTCACACCGGCGACAAAAGGCTTCGATCCGACATCCACTACCGTTAGGACAACTCGGTCGCCGAGGGAAATTGACTCCAAGTCATGTCAGACTTTCAGGGAAAGAGTCCTATTTCCCTCGTGGCAATCAAGAGCGGACGTCCTGACATACTGTGCATATGTTGCTACCAGTCCTGACCCAGATGATCCAGAAACATCTCTCAGGGAAGCCGAATCTTTCAAGGAGAGGGAAAGGGTTGTCAACGAACGCCTGGACCCATATTCGGCAAGATATTTTCCGCGAGAACCACGGACACAACAGCTAGCCCAGCTTCTTCGGCAAGAGAGGAATGTCGAGACAATTGTGCGATCTCGAACTTGGGGTTTGGTGAGAGAAAGATGTAGCGAGACTTTAGACGATTCGGATCGGGCCTTGAATGAGTGGAGAGAAAGGCAGGCACCAGCAAAGAAGCTCTGATCGGACTTGCACGGTTTGACCTCAAGATCCGGCAAAATCCACTGTGTATAACATGATTAGAAATTCAACAATCTCTTTGATACAATCTGGAAAAGATCATTACTCAAGGCACAAGGCAATATTCTTTGCATGTACTTCTCAGTACGGGTTTCCAGGGCATCTAGTTGTTGTACCTTCATAAGAGTCATGAATCCCGAGCCATCTTTGTACTCACTAGTTTGTGTAACTCAAAAAGCTATGACCTCGAATAATTTCTATTGTATTCAGAAGCATTATAAAGGTGAAACTAGAATAATATATCCCGTATGGAAAACTTCCAGAAGTTGCAGAGATGCACGATGCAAGCCACGATATGTGCATATGATCGGATAATGCTCGGTTATGCAGCTCCGGCGATTCGCTATTCGGGTCATCCCACCGCCGGCGGGACACTCGCTGTGCTAGCCAGGGTCCATTGATGGACTCGAGCTTCGATTCTATGCCTGCACCAAGCCTAAAGCTTTCACCATCAACTTTTTGTTCGAACATCACTTGCCGACCCAGGGCACGCGACGACACTCACTTGCTGCGTGGGCACCTAGCACCCTTTGGTACTCTTTTCTCCCACCTACCTGAGCCCCGGACAGGCGTGGAGACCGACGCTTGACGTAGTTCCACCTCCGTAATTCTCCCCGCCAAACATCAGATTGCATTCCGCTGTGCGCTGGTCGTTAAGATTTGAGCTGCAGTGCGACAGATCTTCCACCACTGACACTGACAGTCTTTTGTCGCCTCTAATCGCACTTCCCTCGTCGCTGCGGGCCACCTTCTCTACCACGGGACCTACGAAGCTGCCAAATACGACGGCTGCCGAGCTGCCAAGTCGCCCACCATGCCGCAACCTCTTAGTTCGAAAGAGAATGCTCTCTTTCGCCAGGTCATTCGATTCTACGAAGACAAGCAATACAAGCGTGGCCTGAAAGCCGCCGAACAAATTCTCAAGAAGAATCCGAAACATGGCGACACAATGGCCATGAAGGCCCTGATCATGAACCAGCAGGGCAAGACCGACGAGGCATTTGCTTTGGGCAAGGAGGCTCTGATGGCCGACATGAAGTCGCATATCTGCTGGCACGTCTATGGTCTCCTCTACAGATCTCAGAAGAACTTTGAAGAGGCGATCAAGGCGTATAAGTCGGCTCTAAAGCTAGAACCTGAATCTGTACAGATTCAAAGAGACTTGGCTTTCTTGCAGGTTCAGATGCGAGACTACCAAGGTTATATCCAAAGCAGATCCTCAATGCTTCAGGCAAGACCACAACTGCGCCAGAACTGGACTGCCCTCGCCGTGGCCCACCACCTTGCTGGGGAATTGGAACAAGCCGAGAAGATTCTGACGACATACGAAGAGTCGCTCAAATCGCCGCCGTCCAAGACCGACTACGAGAACTCGGAAGCTGTCATGTACAAAAACACTCTGATCGCTGAAAGAGGTGACTATGAACGCGCTCTTGAACACCTCAAGACCATTGCAAAGCACAACCTGGATCGCTTGGCTGTCATGGAACTGCGCGCAGAGTACCTCAAGAAACTTGGCAAGAAAGAAGAGGCTGTCCAGGCATACAGGAGTCTCCTTGACAGAAACTCCGAACACCCGGATTACTATATTGGCCTCATCGAGGTATCTGATATTCCAGCAGACGACCAGAAGGCCAAAAAGGCCATCTATGACGAGTATGCGGAGAAGTATCCTCGCTCCGATGCTGCAAAGCGCTTGCCGCTTGACTTTCTCACCGGTGAGTAATTCCTAGCCACTTCACAACGAATATCTATCCTGACTTTCTTCCTAGGAGATATCTTTCGGGAAGCTGCCAAGTCTTATCTCAACTTGATGTTGGATAAGGGTGTTCCTTCGACATTTGCCAACTTGAAGCATCTCTACGCTGACTCTTCCAAAAAAGAAACCCTGGGCTCTCTTGCAGTCGAATATTTCGAATCCAAGAAGTCCGAGGGCGGTGCTGAAGCAAATGGCGATGCCTTGAAGGGTGAAGGCGCCGCTCTCTACTACCTGGCGCAACACTACAACTACCACTTGAGCCGCGATCTAGAGAAGGCTCTCGAGTACGTCAACAAGGGCATCGAACTTGCTCCCAAGAACGTGGAGTTTCACATGACCAAGGCCAGGATCTATAAGCACTATGGAAACACCCAGAAGGCTGCTGAAACCATGGACGAAGCCCGCAACCTCGATCTCAAAGACCGCTACATCAACACCAAGGCAGCAAAGTATCAGTTGCGCAGCGACAACACAGAAAAGGCATTAGAGCTCATGGGCATGTTCACGAGACCTGACTCGACCGCCGGCCCGCTCAGCGATCTACTTGACATGCAGTGTGTTTGGTACATGACTGAGGATGGTGAAGCCCACGTCCGGAAAGGAAACATCGGTCTGGCCCTCAAGCGTTTCCATGCCGTGTACGGTTTCTTTGATGTATGGGTAGAAGATCAGTTTGACTTTCACAGTTTCTCTCTCCGTAAAGGGCAGATTCGGGCATATGTTGACATGATCCGTTGGGAGGACCACGTTCGCGAGCACCCATTCTACACCCGGGCTGCCCTTGCAGCTGTCAACTTGTACATCAGCATGTATGACAGTAAATCCTTGCCGAATGGCGTCAATGGGGGCGATGCTGCCAACGGCGCTGACGCTGCCGAGCGAAAGAAGGCTGCGCAGAAGGCCAAGAAGGCTGCTCAAAAGGCCGAACGAGAGGCAGCTGAACGTGCAGCAAAGCAGGACCCGAACAAGCCCAAGAAGGCCAACGAGGAGCCCAAGAAGGTGGATGAAGATCCTGACGGCGTACAGCTTGCTGCCACCGAGGATCCACTTGCCGAAGCCACCAAATTTTTGGTTCACCTACTCCAGTACAGCCCCAAGCTCATCGATGCGCAAATCGCTGGCTTCGAGGTCTACGTTAGACGAGGTACGAACATGGCAAAATATAAGAAGCACAACGATGAAGCGAACCCTACTGACTGGTGAACAATACAGAGAAGTATCTACTCGCGCTTCGTTGCCTGAAGCAGGCACTTGCGCTCGATCCCGAACATCCCAAGGTTCATGAGCAACTTGTATATTTCCGTCATATTCTCAACACCAAACTCAGCTCTCTCCCTCACAAGACACAAGAGGTGGTCAAGGCTGAGTTTGACGTGCTTGACGCGTCTACTGACCTGAAGAAGTACAACGATGAGTTCGAGGCCAAGCACAAGGACAGTGCGCCGCACGTTATCGCTGCAATCAAGGCAAAAAAGCACCTCGGCGAAGATCAAGCTAAGGTGGAGAAAGAGCTGACCGAGGTCATCAGCATCTCAGGAGTTGATTTCGAAGCGGCTCAGGAAGTCTTGGGGCTGTTGAGAAGCTGGAGAAGTAAAGAGGTCGACGGCTTCAAGAAACAGGCGGCTCAGAAATGGCCTGAAGTTACTGCTTTCGCATAGAGTAGAGGGGTGTGACTTTGAGGTGAACTCGAATTCGGAATGGAGGTTGGTAAAAGGGACACAATCGTGGGAAGGCTACGAATCGTCTAAGATGAGATGAGAAAAACTAGTACGGGCACATAGGCGACTCGACGGCCACATCTACATGGGACATTGAAAAAAGGATATGCTCCGTGGATGAGCAAGGCGTCAAGTGTTTCGTGTCGCATCGGAGGAGTATACCAAAAGTTTGTAGATCATGTTCATATGCATAGATCCGGCGTTACTCTAAATTATGGATAGGCCATGATGCTACTCCTGTTTCACCTGCGTAATATCTGAGTGAATAACTAAAGCAACTTTCCGCCCAGCGTATCCAGGCGAAAAGAACCAGGCAGGGAACAACGAATGATGAAATGCAGCCACGCACGCGCAAAATCAAGCAGAATACAGCAATTTGATGTGGGGTTCCTGTCATTCAGCAGTGTTTCGACCACCATGCCTCTTGTTGTAGGCTTCAACAGCCTACGAATGCAATCGTATACACCCCTCATAGATCGAACAAAGTGTCGGAAATGGGAAGCCCGTCAGATTACCAACGTTGCTAGGAAAGCGTGGCCAAAGGTCCACTAGTGAGGAAGATCTATACTCGTATCTTCCAATGTGTTGAGGAAACACAATCTCATGTAGGCACTTTTGCATTTCATAAGTTGAAATTCCCACAAAACTCAATTATTGCATGGTTAAGTAATGTAACATATCTGCTGGGCATCAGACCCAGTGTTCCCGGTCATTTTATATACACATGTTGCCTTTTCCTGTATATCTCCAACAAAAAAAAAAATCGTCTCACAAGCTTGTGCTGCTCCGTCCTACTGAGAGGGGTTCCTATATCATAGTTTTTATAAATGATTTCCCTGGAAGTAAGAATAAACCATGATTAAGGATAATTCCCAGTGGATCCAAGATAGCCAGCCCATCTGGATAGAAGGTCAGTTTTAACATTCACTGGCACAGCTTAGTAGTATCTGTAAACGTACCTTAAATATCGTTACATCTAGTACACAGATTTGTACATGTCTTGTCCATTTAGTCGGTGACGCCAGTGGGGGTCTCGCAGAGGACATCGACAATGCCGCCGACGGGCAGGACACAGCAGCGGGCGCGCTGGCCGACCGAGGCGCACACGTCCTGGAACTGGGTGGCGTTGACCAGAGTCTCGGGAGGGTTCTGGCAGTCGAGGTCCGCGACGCCGGCCACATCGGTTGCGCAGCACTGGGCCGTGCTGTAGAGACCGCTGCAGGCCTCGTAGGTCTGGCGCTGCTGGATGGCGGAGGGGGCGGCCAGGACGGCGGCGAAGAGAGCGGCGAGAGTCAGGTACTGCATTTTGTGAAGATGGATCTTTCTTATTGGGGGTATTGGTAGTTGTGGTTGTTGTGGAAAAAGTGAGTGAGTGGTTTGTAAGTGGCTTGTATGACTTGTTGATGTCTGATGTAGAATAATGATATGAATATTCCAACTCGTCACGGAGGAAACAAGAGGTCTTTATAGACAAAAGGAATATACGATGACTAGGCTGCCTCCTGACTCTTTCCATACTGTTACTCGGTTGCTGCTAGTTTTGGTAGACGATGACGATGGTGGTATCTTTGATTTTGCCATCCAACGCGTGTTTTCCTCGACCCTGCACAAGAAACGACCGTGGTTGAGGTTACTGCAACCTTGTTCGGACTGTGCGTTGGTTAGATTTGATGGAGTCATGTCGTTCATGCCCTGAGCATTGATACCCATTAACAAATCCGAACAGTAAATAGACGTGTCGATCTCTGGCAGGACCCCAGATGGACAAGTCAGGGTTCGAGGCAGGGGACACACCATGTTCCTTGGTCACGGTTTAGACGGGGGGAAAGATGACAAAGCTCTGTCCAGTCAGACGTCTTGATTGTACGCAATGATATACTCAAGCCAATGCCGTACCATTTTCATTACCCCAACCAAGCCACGCCTGAGATCTCATGTTCGCTTAGAGCCTCGATGGCAGCTTGTGATGTCGTTAGACTGGCGACCTAGAAGCCGCCTTCTATGCCACTAGGTTAGTTAGGCTGGTGCTCACTCGTCCCCTCCAAGAAAACTTGGTGCTATCCTATAAGCAAGAGACATCTTTCTAGTCCAGACGAGCGACGACATTGACCAGTGGGCCAACGAATCACGGTGCGGATCGAGCCCTGTACTCGGCCCCGATATAACAGGGGACCCGATAACGCGGCACCGTAGATTAACGTCACAACCGGTAAAGATGTGCACATGCAGGGGAAGAAGAAACAGACGAACAAAAGCAGGCAGCTCGAATGACATGCACCATGGATAAAGGAAGCCAAGATCGCGGGCGGCGATGGCCCATGGCCGCACGTAACAACATGGGCAGCAAGCAAGGTGAGCGGCAGACCCGGCATCGTCGAGGTGGGAAAAAGTGCTTGACCGCTGTAGTTAACTAAACCAGGGGCATGTAATGTAGGGTCGATCTATTTGATGGATGGCATTGTGATACGATTTCGATGGCAAATTTCCTGGGATAGTGGAAGTTAGTTTGCAAGGAAAGTTACGTCTCCAAAAAAAAAAAAAAAAAAAAACGGGACAGTCAGCGCAATGGCCATTCGAGTGTCCATGTGGGATCTGAAGATACTTGATCAACTATACCCGGAGATAGCTATACACTACTTGTCAATTTGTCCATGCTGCCCTGAATTACCAAGCTTATACTTTTTTCCCCCCTTGACGTCTTAGCTCCGCGACTTGTCACATGCCTTTCTTGATCAGATGAATTTGACAGAGTTTACACTTGTGCCTGTGTTTGTGGTGTGGTTGTGACTAGCATGACTGATTCTCTGCCATGGCAAAGTGAATGAAGGGCATCATGATGGATTTCTCCGATCAATTTGCAGCCATCCGAAGGCGATGAATTATTCCCCTACGCTGGCAAGATGAAAAGCCCACTTCTCCAGTCGACTATGCACGCTCAGTCTGGGCTCTTGTGGCGGAGCTCGCAAACTCTCCGAATTGCCCGGCAAGACTTCCCCTTTCGTTGTTATTACTTACCGCAATGAGGGTGGTGAAACCAATGAGGATGTCCCTAGCCTGGGGGGCTCTTGGGCGCTGGGGGCGGGTCATCGCTAGGCAAGGCTGGCTCACTTGGCGAGAGTTGTGATCATGGTTTCGATGGACTGGGGTTGGGGGAGATGGCAACCGCCAGCCGTGTGTGCGCGCGCGCGATGTGCGGATACGTCAGGGGTCAACCGCGCAGCCGAAGGAAAAGCCGTTAAGCTACGGGCAAAATCAAGGAAATGGCTGCGATCGTCGAGCAAATGCCGTTTAGAGGATAGCCGCAACGTTGTATCAGTATCGGCCAATTTTTTTTTTATGGGCGCATGTTTATTGTTTAATGGGCATCGAGAGAAGCGTCACGTCTCTCATTCGAGTGCTAAATTATTGTTCTTGGGAAATGTGTCGAATGATTGATGCTGTGCTGTGGTCGCCATGGAGGAAGTGCTACTATCATTTTGTCTTAGAGGCCGCTGAAGGATGCTCGGGTGCCCATCCATGCAAGCGCTTCCTTTCCACTGATATCATAATCCTCTAGTGGAGCTCACTATGCTACATTCTCTCCTCAGTTAGCGACGAGAATCCGCTCCAGAATATAATTGATGATGCACGCAAGGACATTAGACAGATCTTATCTTGTATGTATCAGCGAGAACGGATATTTTGCCCTGACTACTCGTAGGCTCTGTTAAGCAGGCCGGATGCGCACCCCCCCAATTCCTGCTGGACAGCCCCCCAAGGCACTTTTACATACAAAAAAAGTCCGTGCACGAATTCAATGCCCCACTATTTCCAGCAGTCTACACCAAATTCGAACAGAAAGATACATCTTAATAAAATCACGTTATTCCACGATATTAAATCCAAATAAAATAGGAAAAATACGCAAATACGTTAGGATTAGTTATTAGGGTTAGTTAATAGTGGTTAGGGTTTTTAGGGTTAGCCGGGAGTCCGAGGGGCGGTGTGAGCCCTTCGCTATCTGGTATATGGTAATTTGGTTATATGTGAGTGTACAAGTGCCTTGGGGGGCTGTCCAGCAGGAATTGGGGGGGTGCGCATCCGGCCTGCTGTTAAGCGTCTCCCTGCAAGCATTAGTACTATGGGTATCCAATGCCATGTTAGGGGAGCCCTGTACGGTAGTCGGTCGATGATTACATGTTGACCACCACGACAAGCATCAAGCATTTTTATTTCGGCCGACTAAACCCCCTATGGAGGGCGTTTATATTAAGCCAGGGGCGCTTGGCGCTCTGTATGCTATCATCGTTCCAGATGCAGGGTCCCTGTCGTCCAAAAGCAGAAATCTGGCAGCCGAGACATTCTGCACCAACCTTGTTAACTACACAGTACTTTTCCTCATCTTTTGGCCTCCTCCGGATAATGATCCCGGTATGTCTTCGATTACCCGCGCTCAGCTAATTGCCCGATGATGGCAGCTCAGTCATTCCTTGCAACAAGGCAGCTGCGTCAGCCCGGGGCCTCCGTTCTGGTACCGATATGTGCAATGCAACATGAGATGCTGTTGCAATCCGAATGGAAACCGGTAGTCGGTCAATGACTGACAGCTCGAAATGGTCGAGGCCAAATATGTGTCTGTGTAACCTCTGTGTGAATAAGATCGACGTCACGACTTCTTTGGCCAAAGCCATTGGCCCCTGACGGGGATGATTTCCGCAAGGGCATCCGTTGTCCAGGCCTGGCTCTCCATGATTGACCGATCACTCTGCAGTTACATACGGAAGATTATTCTCAATGCTGGCAGCTGGTAAAGTATGCGCATATTTCCGCCATGCGATAAGCGAGATATCGATGACCACAGCAAACTCAGCCTATAGCCAACCAAATCTATTTGGCATAATGTCAATTTATGCCTTGATCGCAGAGGGCCATACGGTACTAATTATCACAATAGGGGCCACAATGAGTTTACGCATATCATTTGACGCCAGACACAACCCGTCTCTTTGCATTATACTTGGGCTGAAATTCGCCACAGTCAGCATCGTGAAAGAGTGCAGCTTCGTACCAATTGCTCCGAATATCCAGTGACGACGGTTCGTGAGCCTCGCTGGTGTTGAAAAGCTTGGCACAGTACGACCTTGCGCGGTAGCAACTCCCAATCTGGCAGCGATCAACCTCCGAAAATACCTGTGCCAGTCCACAAACCCTTGCTCTACCCTTTTCGGGGTAATAAAGCCAGCCTCAACTACCATGACGACATTCAGGTACCAGCTGCCAGCTATTCTGGGGAACACACGGTGTGCCCGCCATCTGGGTCTTTGTCTTGTCTGTCACATCTACTTTTTTTTTTCCCCTCCCTCCTCCTTGGGTTGATGCGAGGTGCAGGGCTGAGTGCATACCAACTACCGGACAGTGGCTGTGTGCATACACATATTGGACGCGCAAAGGGTCCTTTTTGCGGCTCATAGCTACAACTTATACGAGCAGCCCAGAGGGCGAGTGCAACATCATGAGAATAGAAACTCGGCTATATCGGCCGGGCTTTGATGTTTTCTTGACTGTACAATCTATCGCGGAGGCCTCTGATAGACATTTAATCGCCTCCGGATGTCAGAAAGAGTATACTCGCATTCATGATGGCAAATGTTGTTGTCATATCACATTTCTTAGTGATCTTGAAACATCATCGAAGATGTCTTCGCGCCACCTGGAGGCCTCATGAAAGACGATCAAACCCTTCTATACGCTGAAGTTGTGATACTGCTCAAGACCCTAGCACTGCTTCTTGCCTCAAGGGTTTGACTGTCACCGTAGGATCACCTTTTCAGCGGTAAGTTCTGGAAGGGAAGAGTGTCTACGCCTTTGTCTTCCTGTGGTGTTGGAGTGTGTTGATGACTTGACATCTTCAACTCCATGATTTCGTTACAAATTCAATCAAGGTTTATCCCACAGTGGCTAAATGAAGATACTGTGATTGCTCTAGAGATGCCGTCTCACTTTGCGAAGTGTTGCTTTGTTAGAAAGTTAATGAAGCTGTTTTCGGGTTTAGACAATCCGCACCGAATGATTTCTTCTTTGTCTTAGACTACATCACCTAGCCTTGACACAAGGACAACTCCCTGTCAACTGTTAGAACTATTGCAAAGCAGTAAATCAACCATGGATTCTTTCCATGCTTATCTGGGGACTTAGCTGACTGCAACCGATGCGACTTTGGTGTCCCCGAGACCTGTGTAAATGGAACGCCCGGCAGTAACTGGATGGCAGGCTGACAACAACTCCGCCACCGACACGACAAAACGACAGGGTCCGATATACATGTCGCGAGAAAATGTATTCAAGTCGTTGAGTATAAGATCAAAGAAAACCAGCAACCAGCTGGATATCAAGGGCTTGGGTTCTCTACTCGATGGGTCATACGATGAAGACGCTACACCAATACGAGAGCATACTTGGTCCCATCAAGAGAATTGTATCAGTACAAAAGACCATCAACCTCAGGGTGAGTCAATCAATAACAATGAGGAAGCGGCAAATTCAGCAGCAATGGAAGTCACTGGGCAACAGACTACAAAAGAGGCTATAGTAAATGAAGAGGCGGCAGAGGGTGTAACAGAAAGTGAGAAGGGAGTAGGTCATGACTCTACTAGCTCGGCGCATCCTGACGAAGGGACTGCCTCGGTTACTGGAGAAGAATGGGAACCCGTGGATCCCTTTTCATATGAAGAGAACGTTAATGATTACCTGTACGGTGGTTTCTATCCAGTTGAGATTGGAGACAAGATCATCTCAAGATACGAAGTATTTCACAAGCTCGGAAATGGTGGACACGGGACAGTCTGGCTCGTCCATGACCTCGAACTCATTAAATGGAGAGCCCTCAAGATCCTCAGCGCTCCGCAGTCGAGCGAGGACGGACCGGATCGCCGATTCCTGCGACTGATGCGCGACAAGGGCATCACGGCCGAAGACCTAGAGAAGCGCCGCATCGTTTTCCCCTGCGAGGACCCCTTTGAGATTGATAACCCAGACGGCCGAAAGAACTTGTGCCTCGTCATGCCGCTAATGGGCCCCGATCTTATTTCCATTCGTCAATGGGAGCCGGCCATGATGCGGCGCATCTTTTACGAGCTGGCGGAGAGCCTGGAATTCCTGCACCAAAGGAACATTTGCCATGGAGATTTCAGGCCGAGCAATCTACTGCTCTGTCTTGACCAGGACGACTTACACACCATCAGCAAGGAAGAGATGAGATCAATCTTGGAGAGACCGCATACCCAGGATGTAGACTACGCCATTTGGTGGGAGCACTACCCTCGATTGCCACGGTATATTGTTCAAAAGGCAGATACGAGCTGGCTCGGGATCAAGTTCACTGGACAAGCGGCGGTAGTCGATTTTGGATGCGCGTACGACGTGACAGATTCTTCCGCGTACGCCGGTATTCCTCCAATGTGGGCAGCGCCGGAAGCATATTGGAATTTGGGATCCGGTCTCCCCGGCGATATTTGGGCCTTGGCAACGACGATTGCGCAGGTGTATGCTGGAACGGACATATTCTATGGCCATCAACACGATGATGCAGTGGTGGCAGAGTACGAGTTCGTCCTGGGGGCTCTTCCCCAGCCATATCGGACAGCTTATTATAATCAACTAAAGCAAGCCATATTATATGACTATCGGGGTAAACAAGCATCAAATACTATAGAAGAGTCACGGGTGCCCGATACCGTAGCCAATATGTCAGCAGCCACTGATGCTACAGTCTCTATTGACATCAAAGAACTTCCGGAGCCCATATCCATGACCCAAGAAAGCCTGGCAAAGGACCGGAAATACTACTGCAACAAGCATAGCCAGCCTACTGTCATTCGTGCCTTGATCAGTCGGCCGTGGCTCATGGAGATGCGCGACCCAGAGTTCCCCTACCACGAACACAATGCCGATAACCACTACGATCTCTTGCGAGCGTACCCTGACATAACAATCGAGCGGAGGCTGATACCAAGAGAGGTGAAGATCCTTGGCGACTTGCTCGAAGGGATCCTACGCTATCGACCAGAGGCTCGTCTGAGCATCAGCGACGTGTTGCAACACGAGTGGTTTGGGTACCAAGAAGAAAGATGGGCATCGTTTGATGATGATGTCGTCAAAAACCCTACCGCGAAATATGATGGAGCATCGAAAAGATATGGCCGAGGAATAGATGCAGAGAAAGTGCATGCGGCCAAGGGACCGAGGAATAATAATAAGCACGGCAGCAAGCATTGGGCCAAAGAGGGCCGAAGTCAACGTCAAAAACAGCCAGGCAGATCAATGGAAGCCAAGATCCAGATCTCAAGACCACTGAGAGACATTCTAGTGGATATTGTGACTATCGATGGTCTGTTGAAACAGAATATGTCGCTGCTCCTTGGAATAGTGCTAGCTACTGCGCTGTGGCTACCAATGGCGGTCGCCTTTTACCTCAATGAGCGACAACGACAACGCCAAGCCATCCCTATAGATATTTCATTTCATCAAGGGTCGTTGTTATGAGGATCTAATCTTTTCATCAACGATTTAATCAAGTGCATATATAAACTAGAATGACTGAGAAAGGTCCTCCGACGCATATAGTTAGGAAATAGAGCCGAAACTGATTCAAGTGGAATATTTCCACTTTATAGTAGTCCTCTATTTGAATAACCAAGGCTACGAGTTTCCCTCCAGTCCTACAACTGTTGTCTCTGCATGACTGAACTTTCGAATACCCGTACGAATGATTTTGAGTTGCGATTTGCAATTTGGATCCGGGCAGGCAATAAGAGCATCGGTACTCATCCAGTCATGCGCATGTGTCATTCGTTGTTTGGCGGCCAGTAGAGGCAGAACTGAAGCTGAAACAAGAAGAAGAAGAAAAGTCAGATCCCTATGAAGTCTCTCCGGGAAAAAGTTGAGTCTGCGGCAAGCATACCAAGGCTGTATATGCTGATTCCCTGGCCTGGGGGCAGATACATCATTTCCCCCTCGAGGGTGAAGAAGTCTCCCTTCTTTGCGCCGCAAATCATCTTTTCGCCTTCGGGGTGCCCCTGGGGACAGACGACCTCAACGCGCAGGTCGTACAACTCGAAACTGTCATCTGGCATGTTTGAACTTATCAATGGAGTCGAGAAAGGTTGTTTAACGGTCCAGATGTGTTGTGAATATGACCAAGCTTGAAATCTCACGAAGAAATAGCGTGCTCTGAATGGGTCGTTCAGTGGAATCCGACCGCAATCGGATCTCGGATGTTCGGGTATACTGCAAATCTGCTCAGACACTGTTGCCTCTAGCGATCAACAACAAGTTTTGCAAGACTGAGAGGCAGTTATAGAAGTGGCAAAGTCTACTCTAATCACAACAACCAAGTCAAGTCAACAGCCACAGCCAGCTGGGCATTTGAGTTTATGGATATACTCCGAGCCATGACCCTGGAAAGACGCCGGCATTGGCGGGTCGTCGGTCAATTCGCCGACCTGGAAACAGCGCTGGAATTCATGGCTGAGCCACTAAGCGGCGGGGCGAGGGGGGCACGCCTTCTCTACACTATTACAAATATTAAAGGTCGACAGAATATCCAGGAAACGCGCACAGAAGATGATGTCTTCTTGCTCTATGCCGTCGATATGGCTTATCATTTGTACAGATCCATGATTCAATATGCCATTTTCTCTATGAAACGGAAATCTAGCTGCAGCTATCGTCTGAAAATATTTACATGTCCACCACTTAATGCATGGCGCGGTATTCATTCCCGCAATCGCCAAGTGTCTGATATATGCTCAAGGACTTCTCTCTGTCCTTGCCGAGCGCAACGTCATTAATTCTCTGGAGATCATCGTCATCCAGAGCAAAACCAAAAACTTTGAGGTTTTCATCACCGTGAAGCGATACACCAAGGCGCGTACCAACGATCACGGCACCGACAGCCGGCTGCTGTAGCACCCATCGCGTAGCTACATTCGTCAAACTTACGTCGTACTTTTGCGTAATGGATGATAGTGTTTCGAGCAACGTCTGGAACTCAGACCAAGTGCCCCAGTTGCGTATCATGTCAAAGTACTTTGCTCAGTTAGCCTAGGATACTTGCAAGCATGCAAACGGGCAGCCAACAATATGTATACCTTTCTTTGTGAAGGGGTGAGTTGATCTTTCTCGGCATAGATTTCCGGTACAGGCTGTCCGAGCCATTTGGCGGAAAGGAAACCACCACACTGTCGCGACTGATAAGTAAAAGTAGACATGGTTTCTCGGGACAGATCTTACAAATGAGCCATAAGTCAGCAACTTTAGGCCATAGTGCTGGCAGACAGCACTCATCTGCTGCAGTGGTCGAGAATCAAATAGCGAAAACTGGGCAAGTCAGCCATGGCCATCATCTTGAAGTCATGACACAGCGCGCATTAGAGATCTCACCTGTATTTGATTTGATACAATTCCAACAGAACCCTGCTTTTCCAGCAGATATTCGCACACCTCCTTGGTATGCTCCGAGTCAAAATTACACAAGCCAATAGCCGAAACCAGAACTGGATGAGACTTGGTGATCTTGACCAATTCGGCTAGAATTTCAAGATATTCTTTGGCCTCGTACTATGGAGGGAATATCAGCGTGTGCGTCGAAATGACTCGCCTGGCCGCAACTTACATCGTACCAGTGAAACTGCAATAGCTCGACTCGGCCGCCCAACCTCCTGCAGCGCTCTTTCACAGCAGCGAGGACAAACTCATGTGTAACAGGTTGGTTGATCGGGCTAAATACACACCACTTGGTAGCAGCATATACTTGCTTCTGTACTTCAGGAGCCAATCGATTGCGAAATTCTCCATATATGAGTTCTGCATCTCCCTAAATGGTATGTTAGAGTCCAAGTCGGTTCACTTTCAAGGTCAGTGTGTACTTGCATAATGATCTGCCATATCTGCCGCAATAAGGCCACATTCCACCAGATTCGCCAGAGCTGCTTCCTGCTTCTCAGCAGTACCTGAGCCCCAAGCCGGAGAAGAGAGTTGCCACAGTCCATTGAAGAGACGAGGAACTTGGTGCGGGCCAAGTGTAAACGTCTCAATACTACCTTGCTTGCTCAAATCCACGGAGATGGGGGTCCCACTCGAATGGCTTAGAGACGACAAATGGTCACTGTTTGGAAACAAGAGCCCAAATACATCCTTTACTTGTCGAGCAGATCTGGCAAAGGGGAAAGCGGGCGACTGTGGCTCCAAACCCTGGCAATACTGCCGGCATTCATCCAAGGATGTCCAAAGTTTGAAAAGCTGCCCCTCAAGGGCTTCGGTAGGCTCGGGCCTTGACTCTTTGAGAGCCTGCACGGCTTGGACAATGTCGCCGCCAAACTTTTCGAGATCTGCTTCGAGCTCTGAGCCGGTCTGCCATTGAGCCCCTGCTAGTCGCAGGGCGTCGACAAAATGAATCAAACTAGCACTATAAGCCATGCCAGAAACACCACGGGAGCCTTTTGAGAACGATTGCTACTCACTATTTCAAGGACTCTTCAGCCAACTTGCAAGAGAAGACACATCTTGTCATTGCCATGTAGCGCTTGCATTCCGGCGAGGCTTGGTTGATGGTCGGGAACAAGACCTCGGGAGCCACAAGTTCTGGCGGCGCATCTAGGCAACATCAAAATGAGTAAGTAGAGGCTTCTTGGATAGGACATAAAGCTCGCTAAACATGGAGCTTACCTGCAAAGCGGTCTCGAATGTGCTGCACAAAAGGCTTCTGGGTTACCGAGCCTTGCGACAACAGCACCCTCAATGCTGATCTCAAGAGTTCCGGTGGTACTGCGCGGAATGACACGGTCAGTAGGCGCACTTGATTCTAGAAGGCTGAAAAGACTTGCAATTGGAGATGAGGACATCATCCATCATATTCCTATCGTCGGATTAGTTTGCTGCGCGGGTTATCTCTACTAGAAGGGCCGCTCACACGTGTCCACCCATTGCTAGAGTCTCTTTGCTATTGGCAAAACACGAAGGGCGGCAGATTGAGCTTGGAACTCTGAAGAGAATGCACTTGATGTCAAATATTGAACAGAATATATGCCGAAAGGGACCGTCCAGCGTGCGCTGCTTTTCCGAGTGGCCCCGAGTCTCTTGATTCCTTCTTTGGAACCCGTTAATGAGCGCGCCTACTCAGGGTGGATATGGATATTGGACACTAAAGGCATATTGGGGGCCGGCTACGGGCGACTCCGGCGTTCGGATAGTCGCCGAACCTGTTGTATTATACACTTGAGACGATACAGAATATTGGTTTGTTAATGTAATTCTCACATGATGGGTGAAATAAAGAATATAATTGGTTAAGCTTGAATTCTAACAATATAAAATCATTTGTTGATACGTTTGAATTTTCCGAATATTTTGCTTGTTGGGTGCTTGGTATGTTTTCGGTATGTGCTGGCGCTGGCTATCTCGCCCTCAACTGTGGTAACGCAGCCGGCGACTCAAATTGGCTCCGCCAATCCACTAAGTTGCCGGTCAGGTCAATGGGTTCCATATCCGGACTTCGGCAGAGTAGCATCGTGAAGTACATCAGCTAAAGAACATGGCTCCCAGCAACATCTCTTCCATGCCGTAGACTGGTCTTGGTAAAGGATGGCTGGGTGATCCTTTAGCTGAGTATCCCCAGTACCCAGGCACACCAAACCTGCCAAGAACAGGCTTTGTGCGTAGTATGCAGCATGTACTGGCAGCGACCGCTACATATGACAACGTAAGTACGACGAGAGCCAAGGGTCGACACCAGAGTGTTGTGCGAAACTGGCGCGGGAACGTACCTACCGTAGAAATCATCAAGAAGTCATGGTCTGTCTAAATTGTGTCGTACGCGTGCGTACTTTTGTGATCAGAGCAGCATTTGATGCAGGTCTGACCCTCGATGCAGGAAGCCCATGCTGGACTACCCCAGGTGTCTCCGACCGGGACGCCACCAGAATCCGTCATTCCTTTACCTTGATGTGTGCCCTCTTCGCACCTTGAATTTTGGTACAAACATCCAGTGAACTACTTTCTGGAGAAAATCCGAAAGAGATAGAGAAGATCAAGAACGACAAAAAGACACTTTGCACCTGCAGATTTGAGTCAACAAAAATGGTCACAATCAACATTGCCTATACAGCCCCGATCAACCCGGCCGGGGTCGAGCCAAAGCTCAACCAAGCCCAGATCTGGGCCGGACTGGAGCGCAAGGTGCGGCACGCAGAAGAGTTTGTGGCAATCATCGTGGCCTGCGACGTCGTGTCCGAAGGGCAGACGGCCAAGGGCTTCTCTACCGTCACCCGCGACGTCACCTTCAAGGGCGCCCCGGCGCCGGTCCGCGAGGTGTGCACCCACTATGCGCCCTCGCGCGTCGACTTTGAGCAGGACAATGGCAGCTTCATTAGCAACATTGTAAGCAAGGGGCCCGACGGCGAGCTGCTCATGACGTACTCGTTTGCCTGGGCGCACCCCGACCTTGCCGACGGCAGCCCCGAAGTCGAGAAGCTGGAGGCTGATCATTGGAAGGTGAGAGGACGAGCCAAATCTGCCGGACGGGCGAAAAGGCATGGATTTAGGAGATTATGCTAATATACACTCCATTAGACGGCAAAAATAGCTGTCGAGGGCAGCATCAATACGATTCGGCGACTGGTGAACGACAAGACGATACAGTGACGATTTTGAGCTAGTACGTTTCCGCGACATAGTGCCTGATATGACCAATCTCTCTCAACCAATCATTAGTTGCTCGGCTAGCTCAGTTGGTTAGAGCGTCGTACTAATATTCTCCACAAGAGAATATCAAGTTATGCGAAGGTCCTCAGTTCAATCCTGTGGCTGAGCAATTCTTTTGCACTTTTTTTTCTTCTTCATTTCTTTCCCTATGCAATTGCTTTTGTATGAATCATCGTCAATCATGCTCTTTCGTTCTCTTATATCCTGTCACCCTAAGACAGAAGATTGATCAATTGAAAGTCGTGTTTCTGTTGTGCGATCGCCCAGATACTTTTGAGTGCGACTCGGGCAATTCCATCCATTTCTTCTAAGCCAAAATGGCCCGGAAAATAGTTGTAAGCGCTAGTTGCAATGAACAATAATGGGAAGAATTGCTTTGAATCTGCGTGAATAGAACCCACTCTTTCCAGCTGCCTCGAATATTTGTGTGGTGTCTGCTCCTGACAGCTGGTTTCATGCAGTCGACTATGTGAAGGACCTCGACCATTATGGATTTGACCTGCTATCTTCACGCTCCTAACCTGAAATTGAATATGGGACTGGTTAACTGCCCTGAGCTATCCGTTGTTGGTCAAATCCTTTCTATGGCAGAAGAAACCATGACAAAGTTGATTCATGGTGAAATTATAAACCAACGCCGTTGTGTAGACTCGTACCCTTCTTTATGTTTCTGCGCAGGTTGATCACTATGCGATTATTGAACTCATAATTAAGACGAATGAATGAGGGCTTGGATGGTCCATTCAAGACCAGGTGGTGGTTTGGTCTGAACGACGATGCCCCTTTAGTATAATGGACTTCTCCAGAGAGGTGCTCAATATCCAGGCTCGCCTCTGACACTTTCTGATTCTGTTTCCTTGGATTGGCTGAAATACCTCTGAATGACCCTTCTTTGAAACGCGTCGTGGTTGCTCCAAATCAACGCGTTCAGCCTTGCAGTATTTGTCGTTGCCATTGCAAACGGGCGGCGAACAATCAGTCAGTCACTCGGCAACGAAATCTTCTGCCTGATGGCTGGTGCTCTCCAATCTTGAAACAGAACGCGCTTCTTGAGGCAAGAACCATTTCATTTCCTCATTCCTCTCTTTCGGAAAACAACCACAACTTTCCCTTCAACATCCCACTTTGATATCTCTAGCAAAATCAGCAAGAGCATATCGCACTGTTCTCCCCTGATCCGAGCCCTCGATCATTGCCGTACTCATCAAAGGAGAACATATTTTCTTCAGCATCCACCATTCGGCCTCACTGCCCTTTCCCGCTTTCAACTTTGCGACCAGCTCATCATGGCATCCAAGGTGGCATCGAAGGCTGTGGCTGCCCCCAAGGCCCCCAGAACCCCCAAGACTCCCAAGACTCCGAAGGATCCCAATGCCGAGTCTTCTCAGCATATTGTCGTTCTGTGCAACCTCATGATGTGCTCCGAGACCTTTGAGGCCTCTACCACCAAGCTTGCTCCTATCTTGGGACTTTCCCATGCCAAGAATGTGTAAGTTTCCTCACCGAGAGTACCAAACCTTTCCCTACACCATGGCCGCCTTGGCTTACGCGTGCCATCATCGTCATTATAGTCCTCGCAAGATCAACGGCATCATCAACCCCCACGGTTTTGAGTTCAAGAACAACAAGGTCTACAAGAAGGACGAGGAGGGCGCTCCCGCCACTTCAGCCAACACGAGCGGTGATGATACGGAGACTCCTACTAAGAAGAAGACGGCTACCAAGTCTGCCACCAAGCCGACTCCCAAGAAGCGCAAGGTCGACGAGGCTACCGAGGATGAAGCTATGATGGATGAAGATGTCAACGGTGAGGAAATTAAGGGCGAGGATATCAAGGACGATGACATCAAGGGCGACGAAGATCTCAACGATGCTGGAGAGGTCTAGCTCGTGAACATCGTGAGTGAACCAATATCTGGAAACTTTCCCTGACCGTGACTTGACTAATCATTTAGTAGTCCTTTCTTTCGTGCTTTCCCTTGCACATCGATGACATTCGGGAGGTGCGTTACTGGTTTAAGATGAGAAAGAGCACATAATCCAGTCATTGCTGGAAAGCTATCAGTTTGAGCGGATGGCCCTGTTTGCACAATCATCCGTTTGTGGCAGGCATGAAAACTTGGTCTCACCACGTATAGCAATGCAACTGAACTGAATATACACGCAACAAAATTCCCAGTGTGTTTCTCTGGCATGTGATCTCCATGTCCTCCATGTCCTGCCCACGTGCTTTCCATTACATTGTGAACCCACGGGAAGACTCGATGACGAGAAATCTCACCTGAACCCGCCAAAAATGTGGCGCGCTAGGCAAAAAGCGGTTCCCAGGAATAACCGAAACTCTGATGTGTCGTGATGAAGACAACGAAGCTGACCAAGTTCTGTTGCACTGCATTTTTGTTTTGGTCCCCTCAGTTGTTTCCAGGTTTATTTGACCCTCATTCTCTTGGCAAAGCCAACAAAACCTGCATAAATCTGCATACATAGTACATATGTGAGTATTCAAATGCATTTACATGTACGTAAGGCAGGTACAGAGGTAAGCAGGTATTTTTGCAGGTTCAGCTGTCAAATAATTATACTGCCGTCGTTGCTAACAAACAAGCTGCCTGCTACCTGACATTGATATTCAATCAAAACCTACGATTGAGCCTTAACAATGATCAACAGTACATAAACTTGTATGTTATGGATGATTCTCTTTTTTGGCTTGCTTTCATAGCTACAGGCAGCAGCTTTGTACCCCAGTGGTGGTCGTCTGGTGGTGGGGGTGGGAAATGACATAAAGTTTAGTTGCTACAGAGGGCAGAGAACCCAGTGCCTGTTTTACCTGTACCTTTAGCTACCTTGAGCTCTAATTCCATAAAGGAAATATGTACCGAGCCAATGCCTATTGCAAAGATGGCTGAGTAATTTGCCCAAGTGCTCGGTTCGTATAAGCACTTTCAGACAAATTGATGAATATGTTTTGTCTGCGCCACTAGAAATCTTGGCATGCGCTGGTACGTAGTTTGAATGCTGTGCCGCAAAGCGACCGCTGATGGGCGGCGACCTTGTAGCACCGTCATTGGGCCAAACTCACTGTCGGCACGGGATCCGATCGATCGCCGGGCTCGCTAATCTAGGATCGTCGAGCACCTACTACTGTACCTAGCACGGGTCAAGCTTGGGTGCTTGATATTTGACAAGTTGGAACCATTTGCATGATACGAATTGAATCTGATCAATATACGAGCTGAATGCGTTCTCACTCCAGTATTTGCGAGTCAGGGTGTAGAGAACATGCCGTTGATTCTTTAGAGGACGCGTCAGCAAAAAGCAAATGGGCTAGTAGAAGTGCTTGCGCCAAGGCTGGTTTGGTTTGTATACGAGAACCCAGCTTGGCAGTATATTTAATAAGCCACTCGTAGTCTACTTGACCGCGTTACCACCGAATCCATTGCAATGCTCAAGCTTTTATGCGATCAATCTGAAGGCATTGATGACTTGTTGCACGTATATTCATACGTACGGTTTAGAGTATCGATGCTATTCCCACGTCTCGCGCGTCCTCAGAGTCAATGGCAATTTCCTTGCTTCATCCAATGTCTCTGGCTGAACTCTCTTTTCTAATTGATGAGTCTTTAGTGCTGTCCGCGTATTTCCACTAGATCCTCTCGCTACTCAAGGTAGACAAACCCCTTAAAAAAAAAGCTTGTTTCCACAGCCTGTAGATAGCCTGTATGAAGCACCAGTGTGCAGGCAGCCGTTTAGAAATGAATGTGGATCACATGAAAAACTCCTGAAAATAGCACTATGACAGCTAAGACGGCTCTTGACTCTCCTAGGTTAGCCAAGTACTAGCCGAGTATTGTCTAGGAGGCAGTTATAGATCCCTATTTTTGATTTCTCCTCATCCTTCAAAGACCATACGAGCTTCTGTTTTAGCGTGGCCTTGCAATTGTTACCGCTTTGCCTGCTCGCTGGCCTGCGAAAAAAGTCAGGCAAATTCATACAGATATAGGCAAAGGACAATCTCGTACTCACCCCCTCGGTAGGTATTTGCAATGCGTCATCACTCTCCCACCGGCGCCTTTGTTGCGCCCAGGGACACTCGACCCACTACAATTGAAGCTATTCACAAATTTCAACCGATACTATCCACTATCTGAGCTACTACTTGGTGTCTCCCAGTGCCCGACAATTAGGGTACATTGTCCTCTCCACTTCGCGACTGACTTGGCCTGTGACTGCTCGTGTACGACACAATGGCTGTCGGAAGATGGCCTTGACCAATATATTTCACGTTCAAGACATTGGGGACTAGCCCCTCCCACCGCGGCATTCAGCTCTGACAGAAGGTAGAACTTAATGCTTGCCATTGTGATAAAAGAATGCAGCCACGTTTCCCATGAATAGATGATGTTGATCCAATTCAATCATTCCCCGCTCGCGCTTTCGTTTGCCTGGAAATCACTCGAGGAGCTCTTTCCAGGGTGATCATCATTGCGCGTATACCTCTCCGATCCAAGCAAACATTTTCTGCGTCGTACTGGACAAAGATTGCGTGGCTGTTCAACGCACACCAGTGGGCTGCTCGGTCGAACACCATAGAGCCAGCGTTGCGACGCTCGGCCTCGAATTCTTTGACGTCGCAATAAGCACTTCCACGGTATGGCTCCGATATGGAGCTTCGTCACCTCTCTCTCCAAGCAATACCGAGTCTTGGCGACTTCTGAACACTTTGCCGGCACAACCTCTCTTGATTCGGCGGCCAACTCCCGTCAAACGCCGCCGAGTATTGGGCAAATCCTCTTGTCAAAGAGACTTCGATATATCGGGACCGCCATATCTGCCATTGGCCTCTTTGTGCTGGCCTCTCGAAATTACGAATCCTTGCCGTCCTTGGAAATTCTCAAGTCCAGCTATGGCGTTGATGCCTCGTCCCCTGAGCCGTTTTGCCCCGTGCCAGCGGTGCCCTTGACCGTTGATAAGAAGAATGTTGACTGGTCCAAGTTCGCCTACACGCAATATGTCACAAACCTCTCCTATCTGTGCAATTCAGTCATGATCTTTGAGACGTTATTTCGCTTGGGGAGCCAGGCCGATCGGGTAATGATGTACCCTGCAGATATGATGCATCCCCAGGCGACTGCGAGCGAAGCCACGACGGAAGAAGCACGGCTTCTTATCAAGGCGAGGGACAGCTATATGGTAAAGCTGCAACCCGTAGAGATCCAACGCCGAGATGGAATGGACTGCAAGTCTCCCGGAAAACAAGCCCATTTCCACTACATGAGTAGCTGTGCTAATTGTCTTGAATTGAGCAGCAACTTGGGCAGAGTCGTTTACCAAGCTGCTTGCCTTCAACCAGACCCAGTACGAACGAGTCCTGAATGTCGACTCTGACTCCACGATCCTGCAGACCATGGACGAGTTGTTCCTCCTGCCGCCGTGTCCGGTAGCGATGCCGAAAGCATACTGGCTGCTTCCAGACTCGAATATCTTGTCCTCGCAGCTTCTGCTAGTCCAGCCGAGTGCAGCCGAATTCGATCGTGTCATGAACAAAATAGCGGAGGCGGGGTCCAATGACTACGATATGGAGATTGTTAACCAAATATACATCAAAGAGGCCATGATTTTGCCGCATCGTCCATACGACCTGTTGACTGGCGAGTTTCGCAGCGGGAATCACGTCAAATATCTCGGCACCGAAAATGAAGAATGGGATCCTGTATATGTGTTCAACGAGGCTAAGTTCCTACACTTTTCAGACTGGCCAATCCCGAAGCCATGGATACCAATGAAGGAGAAAGAACGTGAAGAGCATCAGCCAAAGTGCATAGAAAATAACGGTATAGAAGACTGCTCTGACAGAGAGCTTTGGAATGGGTTTTACACAGACTTTGCTCAACGTCGAAAGGTGGGTAGCGCGCTTGCTTTCATTGTCTAATGATCTTAGAAAGAAAGAAAAAAAAGAAGTTCATTCTGCTAACATACAACTAGGACATCTGTCGCACGAGCTCATATTTTAGGAGATGATACATCTCTTGTTGTCACTGATTGATTATGATAGAAAGATGGTAGCGATCACATATTCTGTGTACTATAGGTAGTGACTTTGGTAGGATACCACATAGCAATTATCATTGTCTTCCTGTGTTATTATTACCATTGAGATGATCTTTGAACTGCATTTCCTGCTTATACGATATGTACATGGCCCGACCAATACTGAGCGATTACACGCATAGTGGGAGAAGCACCCTTGATATGTGCGTAGCAAACACAATCGCACGCATATTGTGTCCCTGTAAAGCAAGAATGATCACATTCACTGGCGTGTACGTCACCTAACTCAATGGTTCAACCAATACGGCGAGACTTGTGAGGGGAGTAATATATTTTATGTGCATGGTCTCATTATATCGCAATTAAATACTAGGTAGGTATCTTGGAGTTTGAACTCTATGAGAGACGCCTGCAGAGACCCAACCCAATGCATAACATTGATATTGAATAAAAAAAGATAAAAAGAATAGAAGAGAATTGCAACACCGCCCCTGGTAAACCCACCTCACCAGACCCGACAAACTGGCTCCTTATTCTTGCAATGAAAGGCATTTCTGAATTCCTTTGAATTCTCTGCCATGGCACGGATTCGTGCTTCATCGGGTGCATGAGCGTCATTTGCAAAGCGGAGAATGCCCTCTGCATTATGGTTGTGACAAAAGATTTGGGCCGCTGAGACGAAGAAAAGTTGTTCGGCCGAGAAATGTTCCAAGTGCGGCAGCTTCTGATTCTTCTCGGGCTCGCGATCCTTGTGTTTAGTCCAAGCAGCGTAGCTGTTAGCTACGGCGCCATTGTCGGCGCAGTTCTCTCGGTTCGTTCTGGCCTTGTCAATCCGGAAAGGTTTCGACGTCTTTGGGTTGACAACCACGCGGCCGGGGTTCGGGGTATCCTCGTGGAGTTCGTACTTGTTGAACTGGTCGCGGAGGCACGACAGGCGCTTGTCGTAGGCAGTGAGCGTCTCGTCGTCCCAGCGGAGCGCGTCGGTGGTAAGGACGCCGTGACCGTCGAGCAATAAACCAGTCGGGTCGAAGGCGTGGGTCATTTCGTGGCTAGCCAGGACCCCCAGGGTTCCGTAGTTGACATACTTTGGCAGCGAGGCACCAAAAAAGGGCTCCTGGACGATGCCCGCGGTAATGTAGAACTGGTTGTTGAAGGGGTTGTAGTAGGCGTTGGTCTCGTAAGCCGCAAATGCCCAATCAACGGGGGTTGTTGGTTGAACAAGTCGGTTCCAATGCCGCCTGTTTTCCCACCGCAGCGTGGCGAGGACATTGTCGAAATGAGAGGGCCCAAACTCGAGATCGCGGTAGTAGGCAACAAGGTCGGTTCCATTAATCACGTTGGGAGACTGAGCAAGGCATGTCAGTCAAGGAGAAAGAAAGAATTGGAAAGGGGGATTACAAGATGAAATCTCCAAATGTTGGTGACATACCTCACTGGGATGGAGAAGGTTGGCCTTCATCAATTTCGCCTTGTCCTTGGCGAGTGCTTTGGTCGCATCAGTCATCCACTCGACATGGTCGAGTCGCTCAATGAGCGTAGACATCACATCTTCAACAATCTCTAATATAGGATGAGTTGAGTCTGGATTGAGATAAGCCTCGATGTAGAACTTGCTGGCAGCCCACGGCAAGGTCTGAGTGACGTGCGTGTAGCAATAGGCCCCCCAGCGGTCCTGGTTTTTATCCTGCAGGATCGTATTTCCCCTGTTCAGTACCAGCACAAACACACTCTCTGGATGGGGTCGAAACTTACACTGACATGTGTTATCCATGCGATATTCTCAATCGTCCTGAGAAGCGCATAAGCCTGCACAACTGACTTTGGAGCAGCCATCAATAATCTGGACAAGGCGGACATTTCATATGTGTCGATCATCACCTGGCTAAGCTCATGGCCAGCAGGTGCGAGCTTACCCAAGACATCGGGGATCGAGAGCAATGGAACCAATGCATTTGTTTCATTGATTGAAGTAGCATGGTCCTGCAAGGCGGCAAGTTTAGTTCGTCGTCGTCGCAAAGGAGGAATAACGTTTTTTATCGGGACCTTGCACCTACATTTGGGATGGCATTGATCTTGGTGCTCACAATCTTCTCGATGCTGGCTCCTAGAGCCATGGCATCTTTAATGACCTTTTGGGACAAGTGACCATCTGGCGAGAAGTACTTGTTCAGTTGCTCTGATAGTGTCCGAAAAGTGGCATCTTGATATCCCATTTTCTGCGTCCAGACGGATGATTTGACACGAGGCACGATGTTCTCCTATCCAAAGTATTAGAATATACACAAACAGCTTGTAACGAGCTTGATGTCGCCATTGATACTTACAGGTTTAGCGTCTAGTATAGGTACCTCGTAAGAGACAAAGAGATCAATCTGTAGGTCGTTCAGATAAACTTGTAGGTCTACCAATTGTGGATAATCAGATGGCGAACATGTGACATTGGACCACAATTCGTCTCGGCTAACGGGGAATAGAGTCTTGATGTGATCGGTTATAGTCTCGAGAGAATCTGTAGTCTTTTTAATCGCCTCGGTGTTCATGCATGTCGAATAGTAGGTCTTCAGCTTCTTGAAGATTGCAACGTCGTCCGCAGATGGCTAGATACAGTCAGCCCGGGGAACATATCCGTCGGCTGGGGGAGGGACGAGGGGATAATCATACATTAGAAGTCGGAGGGTGTTGTCCTTCCAGGACATTTTTCAAATAAGACATATGGTCAATTTGCTCATGTTCGGTGACACCTCTATTCACTTCGTTGGGATATCGCAGTGGATAACCTCCACAGGCATCTATAACGATGAGCAGGCACTCTCAAAAAAAAAAAAAAAAAAAAGTGACACATGATTACTTGCATTGATTGAAATCCTCGCATGGATCAATGTCACTGTAGCTCGGTGCCAGATTCGCGATAATGTTGGCGGCGGCTTCGAAGCAGCCCGGCGTCGTACAAACGCTGTCCATCGTGTTCTACCGTCGATGAGAAGGGAGAGAAGAATGAGAGGACTGAAAAAGGTTAAAGTGGTGTCTACGACTTGTGTATATATAGGTATGAATCCTGTTGAGATCGGGAATTTTAAATTTCCGCTTTTTACCTTGTTGAATATTTGTTTACCTTTGCCTCTTTCCGCAAGATCGCTTTGGATGGCCGGAAAATTTCATGGCCTCGTGAGTTACTTTAGGTTTGAGGCCTGAAAGGTACTGTTAGATATGGGAAGAAACTCGCGTGCCGAAGCACCTTCAAGGTGCTCGGCCATTTGCAGCGGCGGACGTTGCTCTTAGTGCCGAAAAAAGAGAACCTTGGAAGCTTAGAAAGTGGTTGTCGTTATTGTTGATGATGATTGGATCTAAAGCGAAAAGTCCTTTTCTCCGTCCTGGCATCTACCATGTCAGCAAACAAATCTTATTCCAGCACTGTCAAGCTCTATTCGGTGACTACAGGTAAAAGAATAAGCTCGCATGCTTTGCTTCTCGCCTGGTCTTGGAGATTACTGGATTAAAAGCATTGGTACTTGGCGCAGGAGCGGCAACGCTCTTCAGGGAAAGGGGGGGAAGAGATCAATATGGAGTGAAGGTGGTCAAATGAGGCTTCGGCTTGGCTTTGCTGTCAACATTTCAAGGATCAGAACCACACTTTTGTCCCAAGAGAGACTCAATGAACCTCCACACGTCATCTTGTAACTTCAGCTCGTTCAAACCCCCCTTCGAAGCACAAATGAACGAGTCGTTATGATCTGGAGTTCCGTTACAACTCTTTGATGACTCCTATTTCATCATGACAAGGAGTGTCTGACAACAGCACATTGCGATGCAGCTAACCAAGAGTTTCCCTCGAACAATTGTAGGTTATGGATCATCAACATCCGTATATTAGACTTTATCTAAACCTTGAATCAATTTCCATTACTAATCATTCCGAAATTTCAACGATAGTTATCGCCCAGCTCCGCCGGTACGCTCGGTGGTCCCATCTCTACAGGTACTGGTCGGTATACATGATTAGATTCGGGAGGGGGAGGAGACGGATGTTGATAATAGCTTGGAGGATGCTGTGGCTTGTTGTCCAATTGGTTTGGTGGCCAGTTTCCTACTTGTTCTACTTGGGTGACGCCTGGGTTCTGTTTTCTGCGTCTGGTCCAACAAAAGATTCCAGCCCACACTAATCCGGCAAGACCAACAACAGAAGCACCTACTGCTATGCCAGCGACTGCCCCGCCCGAGAGACTGGAACTGGTATCGCTCGGCGCCGGAGTTGCAGTGGTTGTCGGTGTTGTGGTGCTAGCAGTTGAGCTCGACTCCTGAGTACTCGTGCTTGATGTGGCGGTCGTAGCGGTCGTGGCGATGCTTGAAGTTGTACTCGTGGTCGTCGATTCCTGTGGAATGGTAATGTTGAAGAAGGCAGAAGTTTGACTGGCATCCGAGTCCGATGGACCACGGAGCCAGAGAAAGAAGACTGGAGAGTCGGACAGAGTAATGTCGTAAGTCTGCACAGTCCAGCGAAAGCTTTGCGCCTTATCTTGGCCGACGCTCTCTTTGGTATAGTTTAGCTCAACTGTGCCTGAAAATGAATTCGAAGATGTTCCAGCTTACGGCTATAGACGCGCGAGGAGGCATTTCTGGCACTCGCTTTTTGTAGGTTTTGTTGCCACAATTCGATCGAATACGCATCGTAATCTGTCTGAAAAGCTACCAGCTGGCTCGATCCCAGTTCCCAGACCTCGACCGTTCCATATGGACCAGTCCCCGTGTCCTGATACGCTGGCGAGATGAAGCCATTACCAGCAGCAAGGGGCAAATAGGTAAGGCATAACGCAAGCAAGCCTAACCACGCCATCGGATCACGTAGTGAGCGACTAGATACCTCGAGCAGCGTAGCGAATTACTCTGATGTTGCACTTGGTATTGTTATATAGTGTCAGCTATGATGCCACGAGGTGATGGTGAATGCCCTCCAGTCAGGTAGATCAACAAGAAGGATTAGGAGCTAGAATAGTAGAAGAGACTCCAAGCCCACTTGGTATCGTATATGTATCAGCATGCGTCTTGCAGACTGTGCCGCTGGGGTCGACAAAGGCAATGGCCCAGTCCGTTTGCCAGTTCATGATGTGATGACAGCGGCTAAGCTGACGCTTGCCCCTGCCTCGAGCGGGTCCCTCGAATGGTTATCATAGACCCGGGACACAGAGTCTACCTAGGCGAAACAAGGTGCTTTGCATCCCAAGCAGAAGCAGGGGGAGCAGCTGAACCAACACCAGGTATGAGCTACCTAGTACTCTGTATCTTGACCGCGATCTCAGCTCCCAGACTCACCTTGAGTAGCTCATTTATCAATTTGGCGAGCATCATGTTGGATAAAAGAGATCTCTTTGCTTCGTGAATAATGTATGCCGGCGCAGAGCACTACTGACTCCAGCGATCCAACTTTCGATAGAGTCACATATGATTACGGTACCAACTTTGTAGGAATGCATGATGCTGAACGTTTTAATTTCCGCCTGCATTTCAGGCCTACACAGTACACAGTTGTTGTCAGTCGATGGGAGCTATGCCTGGGAGGCTATGGCACTGGCATTCCGGCAGGGTATTTGACGTGAAGGCTACAACACCATGCACACACTGCAGCGCATGCTTAAAGTAAGTAGGACAATTGCACACAAATTGCTGCAAATTTGGGCAACAAAATGGATACAGCCTGACTTGAAGAGTGGGCGACTGCAAAGATGACCAATCAAAAGCAAGACTTCATCACTCAAGCTTGGCCTTTGTTTGATGCCCCCACATTTTCATGCAATAAGACTGTTGGTTGCACAAGTTTTTAATACCGTGTGCTGTGATTTGTCCGGATGATGGAAGAGGATGCAAATTACGGAGCCTGGGAAATGGCCCTGTACTTTGGTGGATGGCTGATGGCCATCATTCGCTCCACCACCCCGTCGACCTACGTACTGTGTATCGTGTACTGTGTAGTAGTCTTGGGTCAACGGTTTATATGGTGACCGTACATGGTAGCAGTACGTGTCTTAAGCTTGAAAAGAAAGCTATTTACGGAGCCAATGGTGTCGCGGAGCTACGCGCTGTCTCTGATGAACCATGATCGGATACATGGCCGGAATAAGTATGGGGATCCAGATTGTCGGATCAGAGCTAGACTTGGTTTGGCCATTCTCCGCGACCATGATTGGGGCCAGCGCAGTCAAGACTCAAAGGATTGCACAGCGCTTAACAACTGTCGCGGTCGCCCTTCTCAAACCAGCTGTGATTCATCGCAGAAGGGTGTCTTGCGCGCTTATGGAGAATCGCATTCGTCTTGAGCCGCGAAAGAGAAGGTTCACATAAAGCCGCCGGAGGAAGACCCGCTATCCATGCCATCTCAAGTCGGACCGTCTTCCCACGGCCGGCTGCTGGCTTTGGATAGGAGTGTGTTCCGTACATAGTAGTAGGGTAGGGTTGTATACACAGTACTACTGTGGTAGGCAGAAAAAAGTCTGGCGGGCGGATGTCGCGTGTCTGTTGGTGTGCGTCAGCCTCTTCCATGAAGACGTATGGCAAATTATGCTCCTCAGATCCATACTTAGTAGCCAATTGCACGTTGCCCCGGAGTCCCGGACCTACCCCCCCCCCTGGCCGGGTCAGCAAAAGCACAGGATTGGGGGGTTCCACAGCGGGCGGCTGACTGGCGACCCCGTTCTCATGTTCTGATGTGCAGTTTTGCTCCTCCTGATCTCAAGGAAAGTAAATCTACCGAAACGACCTACTCCTGTGTAAAAGTCCGGGCCCACGTCCCTTGAACTGAGCTTGTTTGCTGCTGCACAACGGTTGAATCAGTATTGCTCTTGCCGATATGGGCGAGCTCCTCACACTGATGCGTTCATCGTCGCGGCAGATGCAATTCGGCATTGCTGCCTTGATTATAATTTCGTTACTCATTTATCACTCGAAACTTGGGCTCAGTGAAACGGAATCGCCATCGTCAGTCATTACCAAGTCTACGCAAAGCAAACAGCGCTTGTATGGGGGGGATTACCATGGCCGCTCTTCGCCAGACATCAATCGCGTCACCAACTCCACGTTGGGCTTTTCCAACATCTTCGTGGTTGGCCTGCCTGATCGCAGCGATAAGCGCGATGCCCTTTCGCTAACAAGCGCTGCCACCGGCTTTCATGTCGAGTTCGTGGATGGTGTCAAGGGTGAAACGATACCGGACAAGGCAGTGCCCTTTGGTGTCGACAGGCACCTATTGATGGAGACCAATCTGGGCAGTTGGAGAGGCCACATGAACGCCGTGAGAAGGTGAGCACCGAGAACGACGCACTCATGATCCGAATGTGGACATGTTGGTATCGATGTTTGCTTACGCTGTTCGCAGAATCATTGAAGAGGATTTAGAAACTGCGCTCATCATGGAAGATGACATGGACTGGTAAGGACATCATTTCCCATCGCCTGGCCATTTCAGATGGTGAACCAGCGGCAGTTGAGCTTACAATCTGGTAGGGATGTGCGTCTAAGATCTCAGCTTGAGTCGGTGGCGACCGGAGCACGCGAAATCATGTCATCAGGGTCTTCGCCGTCGTCCCCTTATGGGGATGAGTGGGATGTGCTATGGCTCGGACAGTGAGTAGAATTTCATGGCCGCGAGCTTTTTAATTGTCCCTGGCGCATACTAAGGTTGCAAAACTATAGCTGTGGTGACTTTTTCCCAGAAGCAGCTTCGGAGAATGCAGGAAAGCCACCGCATCCCAAGTATACCATTTTGAAAGACGAGACTGGTAAGCAACTTCCGATATCGTCTCTCTCCTTTTCTGGGTTGTCTCATGAGCAAGCATTGCCTAAATTGGTGCTCCAAGAGAGCAAGCTTAGACAAATTACTTGAAAGAGCTGCTTCGGACTCATTTATCAACCCTAATGGGCTATTGCTAACACATGTTGTAGTGGCACCACTGGACAAAATCACTGGCCTGGTGGACTTTAGAAAGTATCCAGAGTTCACACGCTGGGTCCATATATCTGGTGCTCCGATTTGTACCTTTGCCTATGCCCTCACCCAGAGAGGTGCCCGAAAGATGATGTACGGCTTGTCTGTGGATCGTCTGAGCGGTCCAATTGACAATGCTTTGGCCGATATGTGCCGCGATGGAGCTGCAGGAAACAAAGATGGACTCCGCGCAAAGTGCATCAGCGTCACTCCACCAGTCTTCTTCCATCACAAGGCCAAGGGACGTCTCGCTGGAGACAGCGACATACAAAATGTCGACAGCAATGAAATACGCCAAAAGGGGACAACAGAGAATATCGTCTGGAGTGCGCGCAACAATATCAAGAACATGCTCATGAACGCAGAGATGGAGAATCAATTTGGAGAATATTAGCGTTTCTGTATACCTTTGATTTTTTTTTCTCTTCTTTTTTTTCTCCAACACACCTGTCATGATAGACGTTTATGGTAATTAGATAGGTACTCGATAAGCTGGCTCCAAGATGTGCCTGCAAAATGAGATTGAGAAATACTAGAGGATTTCACCACAGAACTCAAGTTTGTAGAAATACTACCAAATATATATACCGTACTGAACAAGCCTGTCGCTGGTACATGGATCATGTTGAGTCGTAGAATTACCAACCATTTCTTAGACAGATAGTCTAGCTTGAAGTTGGTCCCAGAGATCAAGCACTTCTACGCGCGATCCACCAATCTAGGACTCCACCGTTGAGTTGAGTTGTTTCCTAATCAAAATACCCATTTATACTCTTTACAACATGAAGAAATTACCTACCCAAAACATGCATTCCTGACTTAGTTGCTCCCTTTCGTTTTATACTCAAAGATGAAGAATTCTTCCTTGCCTCGGGAAATCAGGCTGTTTGAAAATGATGGGCTTTTTTTTTTTTTTTTTTTTTTCCCCTTTCTTAACAATCAAGCGTACCAGGTATAGGGCGATGTCGTCTGGCAACCGTGGTGGAATGGCTAGAGGTTGCGGCTGTTGAGTTCACTCAAGCAGAAGTCTGCGCGTGGGGATTGTAGAGCAAATCATTATGTAATTGGAGCTGTTTACTATCTTAAATAGTGCACAAGCAAATTTCTGGTAAAATCCTTATATCAATACTTCATGAAGAGAACCCTTTGATCTAGCTTTGCATACCACTTCTGTTCGATTTGTAGATACTTACTTTATAATTAGTAAAAAATGCGCAATGTTGCGGAAACTGATATCTACTATGTGGAAAGTATAGCGGGTTATCATGATGAAAAGTTGGGGAAAGCCTTGAGAGGCTGGAGCACTAGACCAACGTCTGCCCACTTTGCGTCCCATCAACAGGGTAAAAGAAGCGCTATTTAATTTGACAGATGGATTCTGTCATAGAGGATGTTGGGATGTTCCTAGATTCCGTCCTTCATGCCAAGGCGTCTTCCGACACTTGCTGGCTGCTTACATGCAATCCTTACCCATCTAGGCACGATCCCTCCGAGGGGCGGGGTATCAAAAGCCATGGCACTCAAGGCACTCGGCACACCCAGCAGCCCGCCCAGCCATGATGCAGTATTATCATGTTATCACAATGAGCCAAGCGACGATGGTAATAAAAGGGCAGGGTGACACAAAATGACGCAAGATGGATAAACTCGCTAGATAAACCTGGCCCTATTTCTCTGCTATGTATGTATGCGGGCTCGTTGCCATGATCAAATGATTTCAGCCAGGCACCCACCCTAGCTCTACTCTCTTGGGAATCTCGCTACCGACACAGAGGCACAGCGCTTATCTTCCAGCCAAACTGCTCATCAGTCGGGTTTTCTTTTCTTTTTTTTCTGATCATTTCGCAGATCGTTCATACACAAGCAGCACTGATTGGGGAGAAGAAGAAGAAAGAAAAAAAATGATTTATTAACACAACACAATCGTTTTGCCGCCCCCAGTGTCATGGCCATGACTCTTCCTGGAGTCTCTGCACTCAATGCGCTGTCCAGCGCAGGCGCACAGCGGCGCTGGGCGCGAGTTACCGGAGTATTCTTCTTGACGCTTGTCATTTGGCAGCTCTTCCTCAGCTCCAGAGCGGATACGTCTCTGCTACCACCTGCAAGACAGAGAGTGTTCAAAGATGACGGCGCAGCGTTGGGTTTTGTCCGCCGAGCGAATGCTCGAGCTAGCCTTGAGCTATCAGACTCGATCAAATACACGCGCCGGTGCATCAAGCCGACCACAGATACCGTGTCGCAACGACGTACCGTAGTGGACTCTCCAGAGCCTCTACTCGACCAACCTCGATTAGTCAACTTGCAAGATTCAGGAAAAATGGACCAAGTATTGGGAGAATGTGTGCCAATATCGCTTTCTGTTTCCGATGCGTACCCCAAACAGGAAAAATTCTCCCATCTGATCTTTGGCATGGCAACCACGTATGGACGACTACGGGATTCTCTCGAGTCTATTGCCCATTGGTCATCTGGCCGCGACTCCAAGCTGATAGTCATTGTGCAAGACTGGGTCGACAATGTTTACCAGGTCATACAGCTGCACAAGACATACCGAGAAAGAGGCGTACATGCAATCTTTATCGAGCCGATCGATAAATCGCATACAACATCACAATCCCACTTCGCGGTACTGACCAAGATGGTCCAAGAGAGCGACCCAGAGACCAGCTGGTTTGGATTACTCGATGATGACACGTTCTATCCTCATTTAAAACCATTATCCGACGCACTTGGCGCTCTGGACCATACAAAGGACCTATTCGTCGGCACATTATCCGAAGACTTTATAGCAGTCAGAAATTTTGGAATCCAGGCCTACGGCGGTGCCGGCGCGTACATGTCGGCAAACCTAGCTAGGAAGCTCGGCCATCCTGAGCAGGCGAATCAGTGCTTGCAGGAGTTTACTCCAGACTTTGGAGACATTATCATCAGAGACTGTGTCTTTCACCATAGCAACGCAAGGTTGACTACCCTGCCTGGCCTGTAAGTTATCAAACATTGATCTGCGCCCTTCCCACGTGGTTTGCCCTGGTCTAATGCGCTGCATTCAGATATCAACATGATCTTCTCGGTGACATGCGAGGCTTTTTCGAATCAGGTGTCGAACCGATCAATCTACACCACTGGAAGAACTGGTATCAAGCACCGGTTGTTGCCATGTCTGCGGCAACCGAGTTCTGTGGGTGAGTAGCCATTTGACTTGGAAAAGTGATCAGTCATTCTGGAGAATATCTGAACAAGACTGGCATGGAGTAGCCGCATGCTAACATGAGTCGCCTGTCCAGGTCCTGTTTTCTGCAACGTTGGTTGTTTGGCTCCAACACACTTCTTTCAAATGGCTTTTCCATCACCCTTTACCCCGATGGATTAGATTCGATTGACCTCAACAAGATGGAACGAACCTGGAACCAGGTTTACCCAGACGAAGACCCCCATTACGAATGGGTTCTGGGCGCTCTGCGCGAGAGTGTACCCAATGACCAACGAATATCATATTTCCTCAGGGACACAGAGGTTTATAATGGCACCATGAGGCAATTATATCTACGGGAGCGCATCGAAGACTCCGACTTGGCTGACGAGGTGATTGAGCTCATATGGAGGAGATGAGACAGGATAAGCATTTGACATTCCAACGATACCCAGATAGACGTAATCCGACGTTTTGAGATACCGAGACAACAGAAGCAATACGAGCAGCCCAGGGCTGATCTTTTGAGCATAACCAACACTTTGATTGGACGGCTGGACAATCTGCTGTTACCCCGCCTTCGCCAGAGGTCGGACAGAATGAGGCGGTACTGACACAAGAGATACGAGGTTGGCAACGCAGTGTTGCAAGTTGATCATGATTCTTTCTCTGGTGATTCGGGACTTTTGAACAAGTCAGTAGTCGTGATGGTCGATGATGCCATAGACTCCAGACAAGAAAGTACACACACACCCAAGTCTTGCATGGAGTGGTGCGTGATTGTCCCATCAGACGTACCGAGAACATGGGTATCACGACACCACTGCAATGACCCTGCACCATGGTCACACAAGTAGATACACGATGAGCTTATGTACTCGCTCAGTATAGCGCTACTCAAATGGCACAAGAGACCACAGACCAATTGTGCCCGACATGAACGCACTGTAACAGTATTAATGCGCCAGCCGTAAGACACATTAACCGCCACTTGCAAAAGAAAAGATAAAAGATCAAATGGCAGAGGGAGGTGCATACGATACGGGCGGGGTGAAAAGCAACATAATGGTGTTTAAGCCAATGAAGATGGGGGGTTATGCATCACCAAACCTTGCTTGGCAATCTATACATGCAAAGTAACCATCCAAACGGTGCTTAGCAGGCTGGGAGGTGCTTGCGGTTCATGCAGGACTCTCTTTTGTTAGAGATAATGCCGCCCATTTATAGTAAGCCATTCTGCACTTTTATTTTCGCCGTTAGTTTTCCTACCTTTTTGTCCATATGAATTCATTTGTTGGCTAGACCTTGACGAGATTCTGTCTGTTCAATTGCAGCCATGGCTTTGGCTCAGCAATCTGCGTCACTGGCATTGGACGGAGGCGATCCACGACTCAATGCTGGCGATGTTGTGCCGGCCAAGAACTTTTCGCGCCGCGATGTGAGCTTCGAGGAGTACATGTACTACGCGGCCATTACGCGCGCCGAGGAAAAGGTGGCAAATGAGAAATTCATACAAGCTCGTGGACCGAGATCTCTCAAGACTATTGTTCAAGCAAGATTCTCCAAAGGGCATACTGGAGCTCTTCCCGCCACTCCGAATGAGAGCGCTGGGGAAAAGTCGGAAAATGATAATACAGTAACGAGATCTGTCCAGACGCGCCAATATGTTACACCAGAGGAGGAAAAGACGGCCAGCAGAGCTGTCAGGACCGCCGGCTGGGGCACCATCTTCTACCTCATCACAACCGACATTCTAGGTTCGTCAAGCTCTACGTACTATCTACTGATAACTGACTAGAGGGTATCTAGGACCTACAAGTGCACCGTAGATAATATGATTCCTCCCAATGGCTTGAAGAAGAAATGCTAACTGATCAACGCCAGGTGGGCATTTGCACAGATGGGTTATGGCCCTGCATTTGCCCTATATACTGTCTTTGGGCTGCTTTCATACTAGTGAGTCCAGCTATGTAAAATTCTGACGTGCTTTGAAGGTTGACGAGGGCACAAAAAGTTCTGGTTGGGTCATTTGGAAGGTGTTCCTAGGCCTCGACTCGGATAGATATCCTCTCCGTGGGTATGGGGACTTTTTCTATCGATTGTTTGGTCCTCCCGCACGTCACTTTGTCAATGTCACCCTCTCGCTCCAGCTGCTCCTCGTGGTCTCTGTCCTCATTCTGCTGAATGGACAGAGCATCTCTCAGATCAGTCGAGGGCCCGTTGGAGACCGAACTGGTTTGTGCTTCGTGGTGTGCCTTCTGATCTACATGGTCGTCGGCTTCCTTCTGGGGCAGATTAGAACACTGCAACGTCTTGGCTGGCTTGCAAATGCTGCGGTTTGGATGACTGTGGGCATGATTCTTCTATGGTATGGAAAACAGATCATTCAGCTTGGGCGCTTATGCCCCCCGGATAGAACTCACCAATTTACAGCATGGGCACGGTGGGCTATGGGCCCAATTACGCCGCAGTCGAGGCATCTTTTGGCCTAGAACGAGCTCCGATCCGGACTTTTGCGTGAGTCTCTTGCAACAATTAGATTTGTATCATCTTAAAGGATCAAAGGTTAATACCAGATCATCCCAGTGGCACTCCACCAGCAGGATATACCAGCGGAACCGGATTTGTCGCTAGTCTGAATGGACTCAACGCTGCTGTCTTTGCTTGTAAGGAGCACCCCATCAAAACAGATTATAGCGGACCATTTTTCGACTCACGATTCTCGCTCTAGATGGCGGTTGCATGTTATTCGCTGCATTGCTAGCGGAGATGAGGTCATGTACCTAGCCTTCTTGCCTACATTGAGAGAAGCTGACATTGTACCCTACAGACATCCCATGGACTTCTGGAAAGGTCTACTCATTGCGCAAATTTTCATCTACGCAGCATATGTCTTCTTTGGCGCCTTCATGTATTCCTTCCAGGGCCAATTCGCCTACAACCCAAGCCAGCAAGGTTTGTTTCAACCACAGGAGCTTTTTTCAATGCAAGGACGTACAAGCTGAAACTCACTACAGGAATCGTACTATACAGCGCCCAGACGGCTGCCAATATCCTGTCTATCCTCAGTGCATTGATTGCTTCCGTGCTGTACAGCAACATAGGGCTCAAAGTAGTCTACATTGAAATTTTTCATGAGCTGCTGGGGTTTCCGCCCTTGACGACACGTCGAGGAAAGTTATGGTGGGCTTTTCTGATCCCAGTGTACTGGATTCTTGCCTTTATCATAGCTTCTGCTGTGCCGGCCTTTTCCTGTAAGTTGAGTGTCTTTTGAGAAGAAAACGTTTGTTTGTCTTGTCGTTGCGGCTATAATTTGCCACCCAGTGTGGACTTGGGCGAGTCTATTGCGACCAATTATAGGGCTCTGAACGTTTCTGACCTTGGACAAAACAGATGTTGTCGGTCTTCAATCCGCCTTATTCACACTGTCATTTACCTATACGCTCCCGGCCTGTGTGGCGCTCGGCTATTGGGTTCGCAAAGATGCCATGGTAGAGGGCGAAGAACGGTTCGATCCATCCACCAGGACGTATAACTACGTCGACCGTGGGTTTGCTCGATTGAGACGAGGGTTCATGAAGAAGCCCTTGTTCAACCTGGCCAATATCATCTATATTCTTGGCGCAACCGTCACCTGCGGTCTCGGATGTTATAGCGCCATTGTGAGCTTGATAGACGCTTTCGCGCGCGGGAGTGCTAATAGTCTGAGTTGTGTCCCTCCGCTGTAGTATACAGTAACGAGGAGAGTGGCCGATACTTTGCCCTCTCGGTGACTGCCAAGCGTCAGATGATTCTTTTTTTACCAGAGATTTTCAATCAGATATACAGTCGGAAAGGGGTCGTGACAATAAGGATTTGGAATGCAAGGAATATATTTTTGGGATACGATGAAAAGGATCATGCAAAGACCATAACAATTTCTTTTGGGATAGATCCCTTTTTAGCCTATACACAATATCAATATTCTTCACGGCTGTCCTATAACCTCGGCCGAACTTGATCTTGCTCGTCGTCAAAGATAGTCTCTATCAAGTGTTTCCACTCGTCTGCCCTCTTCTCATCAATGGCATTTCCATCCACGCTGACGCCTAGCTCCAGTCCGTCGTCATGGCCAGTCACGCCACAGAGGAACTCGTCATCCCGGACCCGTACCGAACTCCTGGCATCAAACCAGTCAGCCACAAAGTCGTCCTCATTCTTTCCAATCGGCTTTTTGAGGTCGTACATGCCGGGCTTTTGCGTCGTCCGCCCCACGGAGCTCACGCCGCAAGTCTGCGAACTTTCGTTCGGGCGTGCCTCCAGCGAGCCCTGGGGTCCATTGACAGCATTCCGCCGCTCTACAGGCAGCTTTGCTTGCTCCTTCTCCACGGTCGCGAGGTAGTTGATGGCAATGACCCTGCCGGGTCCGCGGCTGCCCACGTACCACAGTGGATCTCTTGTGTCCTCGGGCCGGGCGCGCTTCTGGAAGGACGACAGCTGCCTCTGCGCGTGCCGGACCAGGATCCGGAACCGGCCCTCGAGGTCCAGGTGCGACGGCAAGAACGGCAGCACAATACCATCGCTAAAGGCGAGCATCATGGAGTCTGGCGGGTCCATGTGGTTGAAAAAGGGGCGCGGGTTGAGTGGGAACCCCGTCATAAAGGGCCGCTGGTCGCCCGGGTTGCGGCGCTCGTTGAGTATCATCATGACTAGAGCCACGAGGGCAAAGCCACCGGCCCCTACGCTGGCTCCGACCTGTCGGCAGATAGACACAAGGCGATCTCGAGCTTTGCTGTTGACAGTGGCGCGGACGTAGAATGTGTTCAAAGGCGGTTTTGAACTGTAGTCCAGGACATCCGAGTAGACTGGTGGGTACAGGCGAGAATCTGGAAAGGGTTGATCGCGACGCAACGGATTAGGAAATGCGGCCGGCAGAGATCTGCGGACGTGGCGGAGAACTCTGGACAGACACCAGAACCAGCGTCTCCGGGCAAGAGAACCAGATATCTGAGGATAAAGATCCTCTTGCGCAAGTGGAAGCCGGGGCTTGGTAGCGACCGTAGTACCCAGAGATTCGACTGCTGTTTGCAAGTCGTGGAGAGGCGAGTTAATAAGCCTAAGAAACGATTCCAACCAGACACGCATAGTGAGGCCGTCGGTCACGGAATGTGCTACCACAAAGAAAAATCTGAGTACAACGTGACCGCTAATCGACAACTTTGGAGGCAACACGAACAGCTTGGAGAGAGACCCGTTTGGATCCACAACTCGCGCCGTGTTGACAACGTGGTGGTAAAACTCGTCATCATTCACAGGCCGTCCTCGACGGTCTTTGACATGGACCAAGCACTTTTGCGCATCTTCAATCGCCTCTTCTGAGCTGTTGAAACACGATACTCGAAAATAAGGTTCAGCAACTTCTGAGGAGTCCGTCATTATGGGAGCTGCGGCCCTCAAAAGTACGTGCTCGAGGCGCAGGACTGTCCACGCCAAGAGGATTCTCTGTTGAAGTTGCTCGGGAGATATGGCGCTTGAGGCCTTGAGGCGGAGCAACGTATTGACATCAGCCCTGCCACCGTAGTATCGTCCATCTGTGTCAAAGCCTTGTTCGACGACGCCTTGGCGCCTAATCCAAGAAGCATTGCCGCTCTGGTCTTTTTCAAGTCTCCACCGGTGATAGTCATTGGCGTACCTATCGAGCCAATGTCCGCGCTCTGTCGATACGGTGGCGACGGCCGTCATTCTGGATCAAGGCCACTTCTTTTCTGCCCCAGAGCAGTGTAACTTTCTCTATAGCAAGTAATAAGTGACCTTGGGCCTGAGCCGGTATAATGAATGCAGCTCTAGCTTTCGAACGGAGAGTTGTCGAACGAATGTATCTCTACACAGCAACGCCCATAAAGACCGTAAACGAGTAAATTACATCCATCGATGGTTGACCTACAACACGATACCAGATTTCTCGGCCACGGCTGCGCGCAAGTCAATAGAGTTGAAATTTACGCAAACTCACCTCTTCAGGTGCCAAACTGCATTTGGATTTTCGAAACTTGGCGGATCGGGTCGCGGCGACCCGCCGCCTGCCGAAAAGATTTTACTATACCATTACGGGTATTGCGGGGCGGCAGTCTCCTTAGTTGAGCTGTTGCGGGGAACAAAGGACAGGCGGCGGCCCTGGTAGTAAGTAGTATAGTAATGGAACTTGTACAGCAGATGCGTACAATGATATTGCATACGGTCATCATGTTTCCGACTTGATATCTTCCATGGGACTTTTAGGATGCCCAGGTGTCTATATTCACCTGCCTTGAACAGGTTCACATTCCCCAGAATGAGAGCGTTATAGTCATGCTATCAATTATACCTTGACTAGTAATAGAACTTGTTGGCGTGTAACGGCAGGACATAGTGGATAGCGATCAGTCAAGTTGCCATATTTTCGACTACCAGTCACAATCCGAGTCCGCAGCATCGACGACTTGTTAGATGCAAATTATATTAAGCGCATGAAACCTATTTGTGAAACAGCAGTGGTATCAGAACCAGACACCTGAATGGAACGCGACCAATCCGTGCTTATCCGCCTAAAGTACAGTGTCCTTTTTTGTCATAACATTCGTTTCCCATCGTATCATCTGAAGTTCCCCTCCGCGGCCATCAACTAATTTAGTAAGAGTAGGAGTCAATTACAGCTCTGCCTTGGTATCTTGCGCCTTCTTCTTAGCAGCCTCCGATCCGCCGATAACCTGGTCAAGAACCCACTGGTAGCCGTCCTTAACAGCTTCACTGAGCTTGGCAAATGCAGTTTCAGCCGGACCGCTGGTACCATACTTGAAGTACGTGTATTGCTTGCGGGCATAGGCGCGAAGCTCGTTCAGCTTGGAACCCTGGGGAACCGGAATACCGTAACTGTCGAGGTAAGATTTCAACTCGCTTTCGCTCCAAGTGTCAAACGCGTTCTGCTTAGCAGCGTCGGTGGCCTTGGTGAGGTAGCTGGTAACCGAGGCGTAGCTGTCTCCACCAGCAGAGGAAGCAGAGGCGTAAGCAGACTGAGCAGCCAAGACGAGATCATCGCGAGTAGCACCAGCCTTGTTGGCAACGCTCTGAGCAGTAGTGTCACCGCTGCTCTTGAGGTAGTCCTTTAGATTCTCGGTAGAAAGGTCGTCCCAGGTCCATGCACTGTATCCAGATGCAGCCTTGTGAGAGTTCTTGCGAACGAGTGCGCGGAGCTCATCAGTCTTGGAGCCGTGGGGAACTGGAACACCACGAGCATCGAGGTAAGCCTTGAGTCGGCTCTCGGTCCAGGTGCCAACGGCCGAATTGAACGCCTCTTGGGCAGCCAAGCTGGCGCTGTCAGTGGCCTTGGCATACTGGTTGTTTGCGTTGCTGGTGGCAGCGCCAAAGGCACTGGCAGCAGAAGCTGAAGCAGAGTCGCCAAGAATCTGAGCGCGGTGCTTGCGAACCAGAGCACGAAGCTCATTCACCTTGGAACCCTGGGGGACGGGGATGCCGTTCTTGTCGGCGAATTCCTTGAGCTGAGACTCGCCCCATGCATCAATGATCTTGTCAGTCAAAGAGGCATAAGCGGCATTGGCGCTGGCAGAGGCGGCGGCGGCCTGGTCCTGAGCTCTCAAGTAAGCGAGGCGAGAGTTGCGGCGAACCGAGGCAATGAGCTTGTCACGGCTCGACGGCTGAGGAGCGGGGAATCCGTTGGTGTCGAGCCACTCCTTGAGGTCAGACTCGGACCAAGTCTCGTAGAGCCAGTTGCCAGGGTAGGAAGCGGTCTCGCCGAGCTTCTTAGCAACGGTATCGTAGCTGGAACGTGCCTTTTGGAGCAGAGTATCACGCTTGCGAGGCTGGGGAACTGTATATGGCATCAGCATCGGTCTCTGTATCTCACTTCTAGGCTACCACTTACCAGGAATACCGTGCTTGTCGGCAAAGGCCTTGAGCTGGCTGTCGGTCCAGCTGTCGAGAATCCAGTCTCTGGCGCTGGCCCAGGCATTCTGAGCCGTGTCTTCGGTCTCGTACCACGAGTTCTGAACCTGAGTAAGGAGGGAGTCCTTGCTGGCCTCGGCACCTTCCTTGGTCTCAATGCCCTTCTGCTTGAGGTAGGCAGAGAGCTTGTCCGAGTCCCAGTTCTTGTATGGGGAGACTGCGTAGCTGTCCCAATTCTTCTGGATCAAGTTCTCGAGGTCCTTACGGTCGGAGGGTGTGGGGTACGGGACGTCATGGTCAGAGAGCCAGCGCTCGAGCTCAGTCTCATGCCACTTGTTGTAGGCTGGAGGTTGTTTGTTAGCTTCAGAACGCAATGGCACAGAACAGGGCAGGAAAAGGGAGCGAGTGCAGATGGATTGGTGCAGCGGCAAAGGAGTCTGTAGTAGTGGTGTAATCCGTCTTTCCACAATGTGTGTAACATACCAGCTTTGCTGAACCAGCTGCTGCCTATGACCGAAGTGGCCAGAGCGAGAGTGGTGAGGCTGCTCAACAACCTCATGATGAATAAGATGAAGGGGGTCGCTGGAGATGGGGGGCGTATTTTCTCTTCTTTTGTTGGAGATACTGCTGCAATCACATGCAGAGTTTGAGATTGAGGGAGAAGGAAAAGATTGAGAAAGGGCCTGGTCAAGATTGAGGAATCTGGTTTGGTTTTGTTTGGTGAGAGTCAAGGGCAAAGTTGGGGAAATGCTGCTCGCTTGGTTTGGCTTGGCTGATTCACAAATGCATCACGTCACTCCCCAAGCTGCCTTTGTTTACGCGGCACAACGACCAGACCCCCCCAGGGCGGCAGGGCAGAAACGATAAAGGCAGGCCACTCACTCACTCACTTACTACCCGACTACCTACCGACTAGGTACAATTAACTGCAATGTATCCATCATGCTTGCCCACCTTTGTCTGGGCTTTACGTGACACTAACCCAGATGCATAAAAGATACTTGAGGCTTTGCCATCATCAATGATCATCAACACACCTAAACACGTGTTTGGGCCACTCCAGTATTCTGCCTGGAGTTGGACGAGGGCCCCTTCTACTCCAGATGACTGGATACATATGCATAACCTAGATCAGCATGACGTACATGCCGGATATTGGGGCCTCGGTTTGACAGCCCAAGGACTTTTGTTTGTTGCCAGGTCGCTGGCAAAGGGGGCCAATAAAGCTTGTCAAAGCTCGTTACGCACTGGGACCAGTAAGGAAAAAAAGACATGTGCACGTCTGATGCCGCTATAATTTCATCATCAGAAATCTCGATCTTTCCAATTGTGGCTTGTGTTTCACAGTACAAGCTTCTATGCAATGATGGTGAGCAAGAAAAAAAGACAAGACAGCTCCGACAAGTGGAGGACCAAAAACTCCGGTTTACGTCATTTGGAGAGCCAGATCCCTTTGCTCTCTTTTCCTCTAGACTATTTCTGGTTTAGCTGCGGCTCACTAGAGCTTGACAAGGGCCTTCAATTGGTGTGGGGTAGCTAGCTGGCATGAAGGTTCCAAGGTACCCGGCAATCAGTGGGGACCTCTGGCCATCAGTGGTCCAGAAGCCTTAGGCTCTCTCTGCTAGAGCTCTGCTAGAGCTCTGATCCGATCTTCTGAACTGGCTTGGGGAGCTTGGACCGACAAATTGGACGAGCACAGGCGTGTTGTCTCTCTTTCTTTTTTTTTTTTTTTTTTTTTTTTTCTCCCTTGGGTCTTAAAGCTGGTGTTCATGCTCGTCCGTTGTGGTCAGGTACAGAAGCAATTCAGCTACATAGTCATGATCTCACAGTAACTATAGTAACTACCCTGAACCAGCTTCGAAAACAACGGATATTGAATATGAAATTATTACACCGTTTCGAAATCGTTGTCGGTTTCGATGAGACTAGACTGTGATCGATCAATGGAGCGAGAATCAAATATCCCGGCCTCAGGATTCAGAATATCGTCAAGCAGGGGATAGCCACATGTATTCAAAACACACCGCCTAGCAGCAAGTTGACACTGGCAGATACCTGCTTGCTTGCTTGTCAGCTGGGCTCCGCTCCACCCTTCCCATATGAATGTCGAGTTGGGTTTTATAAACATTATCACTTCAGAGGATGCTTTCTCCATGCCCCAGGGAGAGAGATTACCATGTTTTGATATTGTCCTTTAACTGGCCGCAACAAAGCACTGCTGAATAAGCAGCCAAAATACATCACACGGCAAGGGTGGCAGAAGATTTCCAGTGCCTGAAATGACTTTGGTTTGCTTTATCCTTGCTAATGAACTGTACCAGTCTATAAAATGAGCCGTGCGCCACAAACAATGAGCTGGCCTTCAACAGTTTCGAATACGCGCTTCTTCAACGAGCAAGGCGGCAGAGCTGGCTTGCACAAAGTTTGACGTCTCACAAAACGGTATGACTTTACCAACAAAATGGTTGAGCACGGAAATTTTGCCAAATGCTGCCTCCATGCTAGTCAGGAAAAGGTAGACGAATATATGTGAGGATGTCTTGTTACAGAGGTCGACACTGTGGCTGTTGGCTACTTGTGACATTCTCCCCAGCCTAGATGACTTTTGGGGGCATGATATCAGGAGTAATCCCAAGAAACCCAAGAAACCCACGCGTATTGGAGCTATTGCCAGCGAGAGAATCAGGGCAAGACCGACGACGCCTTTGGTGCTAGCATCACAGATGACATGCAGACAAACCTTTGGTCACCCTCACACCACAGCTCACCTTTGTACCACCACGTACCACCACTCGGCTATCTGTAAGGTAAATCGTCGACAAACAGGAACTTGGATGACGATGACGGCGTCAATATTTCGATCCCAGGTTTGCCAGGAAAAGGAATGATGCAAAAGAAAAAGCCAAGGACATACCAGGTTTACCACTCCCAGACTCGACTCGACCACGACCCGACGACATATCAAGAAGACACATGCAATCTCACGAATGTCAATAACGTTATCAGTTGCAGGAAAAGTGCAAAAAAGTGCAAAAGAAAGGGTCTTGCCGTGGATCGAACACGGGGCCTCGCGCAAACAATGTTCAGGGTTTTCCCTAAGCGCGAATCATACCACTAGACCACAAGACCTGTTGATTTGTTGTTGTTGAAGAGACGGAGTTTATTACGTATTAAGGAAAAGGGTGGTGGTGATGGTTGGTTGGCCGTGAACAACAAGGTGTGTCGTTCCAGGTCGGCGACGAGGTCTCACGATGACTCAATCCACCTGCCCATTTCGGCTCCACTTGGCTCGATGGGAGGCGCCGCGGAGGGAAGGTGCTTTGAAGCTGGTCGGGCACGAGTCAGAGGTATTCCAGATTCCCAAGGCACATGTTGAGTATATGACAGTGATTTGGATATATGAATTTGGTCTATATTTCTTTGTGGAGTCATCGGGTTTGGCGAGCTGAGTCACCGGGCATACCTGACCATAGTCACGTTTATAGTAACAATCCTTTTTACGGGATTTGATAAAACGCGCCCACGAAGTATGAAATGGCATTACTTTTGAATACAGGTATGCTTCGATATGATTTATATATATTTCCGCCGGACAGAGGAAATTGGTGCTTAAAATTGAAAAATACCCAGTTGCCACTATGAAATCATGATACATCAGTATCATCAATAATGAGCTGAGCTCAGACCAATTTATTACTCGTTATCCAGAAGAAATCAAGGCAAAACTCAATAAAAGTCCTCCTTTATACCCTGGATCCTGATCAGGCTGGTGCTTATTCATGTATAAATCTGTGTCAAGGAAGTCACGTATATATAGAATCTGGACAATGCAAATTATCAACCTTACGAGGCTGGATTATAATGATACATTCATCTTTTACTTGTATATTGAAAATGGCTTTAATTATTATGATTCCAGGTTCTTGCGTCTGTGATTCCTGCGTCTATATTCTTCAGGAGTATCCGCTCCTGTGACAATAAGAGATACACTGGTATGCAAATTCCGGGCCCAAAAGGACGATGGACTGCTTCCATGGTTTTTCAGTGAGGGCAAGAATGACGCTTTACTTAACCAAAGCCCCGTTACAGTAATTCTAATTGTTTCGATATTTGAACATGTTGGTAAATGACGAGTGGCGTATGTCTGTTGATCTAGTTCTAGATGTCGTAGGCCAGCGTGAAACTCAACTTCAGCGACAATTCCTCGTGGTGGTAACACTACAGCCAGCATCCGGATACATGTAATATGAGACAGGGCCTGAAGTCGTAGAGTTCCAGGGATAGTTCTTTTGGCATATCCATGAATTCTAGAGATAATCTAGGCAAAACTGTAGGGACGCACCGCGGTGCTAAGCGGCAGCCAACAAGAGCAGTGGACTCTCTACATTTCAAAGTAGAGATGATAGTGATTCGAACAGCCAGGATTAAACTCTGCTTGACAGCCCGGGCAGACGGATACGCACGACAGATATTCCTCAATGGTCAGCTCGTGGCGGCATTTACCACACAGCACGGCCTTGGTCTCTCTTTCTGCCCTGGGCCAGGTCAAAGGAGCATGCCCGGCCAGGGCCTCATGGCAGCTGATGCACGCATAGTATTCACCGCAGCACTTGTGACGAATGGCGATAATGTCGCGTGGTGAGTGCCAGTGGGCGCACTGCGTGAGAGCCGTTACATCGAGACCCTTGACAGCAGGACCCGCAGTGTCCATGTTGGCTGTTTGTAGTTTCGGGCTGGCAGTAATGGTGCTGCTATTGCGTGGCCTCTCATACACGGCTTTTTGAGGTACTACCAGTTGCAGATATCCTCTTTGGGCGCCTGGTTGATGCTGTTGTGTGCGGCAATGAAGTATGAAATCGCGCCCTAATTTTGAAGCTGCTGACAAGTAGCCAGGTTATTTAGTATCCGTACATGGTGTTTTTGGTGGAGCACATGGGATGCTGGACACGCAGCACATCCACGGGTATCTTTACTATGTACCCGTCGACGTATCACTTGCCGTCGAAATAATCAGCAATGCTAATGATACATTATAGTTTTGACTTTTGCAGTTTACAGGACAGACTGTGCTGAATCTCAGTTCATTGCATCTTGTGCCAAGTATATCCCAATGAACCCAATATCGCTTGTATACCTAGGCATGTGTGTAGAGCCAGGGAAGTATTTAACCTAGGTGCTATGTGACTAGATATATGCAGATACTGCACAATTTGCGATGACGAATTGTAATAAGCGCATGAATAGTTGTATTGCAAGCAATGGTCATTGTACTTTGTTCTATGGCAGGCTGGTTGGTTGGTTTGTTACCGAAATTGAAAGTGCAGCCCAAGATGGATGGCGACGCAAGACCCTGAAGAAAGAGCCGTCCAAATTGTAGCTACCCTAGCAAATTACACATGCAAGGTACGTCGGTTAGGTCGGTTGTTGGACCAGGGACGACCGACTTATTATTTGCGGGAACTTGGATCACCACGCGTGACTTGACATCCAGAGAGACAACCAACTGATCCTCCCAATGCAATGCGCCGCACATAAACGCACATGCATTTGCGCGACAGGCCATGCAACAATAACTTCATCATTGCCAATATCTATTTCATGTCTCTCGCTTTAATACAATTCATTCCACTCGTTTCCAAGACTGCTTCCATTTAGCTCCGAATCGTAGTGGTCGTTGTCGACATTACCCCCAGCTGGTTACGGCAGATCGGAGACCTTGATACGAAGTTTATTTTTCGAGGCGCGGCATTCTAATACGGCACGTTGCGATACGACCCCTCCGCGACCACCTTTGACATTTATCCATTATGGCCTCCGAGACACGAGCCTCCGAGTCGGCTCCCATGCTCGACTCGTCCGGGGCCCCCGTCTCTGCCGAGTCCAGCGTGGATGGCCCTTCAGCTTCCATGATGGACCAAGTCTTGCGCCTGGGAGGTGGAGTTACGGTCTCTTTCTTGCACGACTCGCTCTTTGTTAAAGGTGCGTCGCTACGCTCATCATGCGCATACTCAGCCCTTCCATGCCCATTGCCGACACATTTCTCACGATCCAACTACAGATAAGGCAGCGGCGAAGCGTGACCAATCCAAAATCTGCGGCATCCCAGTCGGATCCTCAGAGTCGTCATTTCATATACCCTTCTACCATGTTCTTTGGGCCGAGGCAGCCCAGGACACAATCACGATCGATTATGCCACGGTTGTCAAGGACAAGGCCCGGGCCAGGAAGCTCAAATACACGTTGGGCGACATTCCCTCGGCGACGGCCGCGGCATGGGCTAGCATCCTCCTCGAAAAAGCATACGGGCTAGCCAAGCAGAAGAAGCGTGCCAAGGTTCTTGTGAACCCCCATGCGGGCCCTGGCGGCGCTGAAAAAATCTGGGAACACGATGTCAAGCCGCTTTTCGACGCAGCCCGCATGCCCATGGACATTGTACGGACGACGTACTCGGGCGAGGCGATTGACATCTGCGAGAAACTCGATATCGATGCATATGATGTCGTGATACCATGCTCCGGCGACGGCCTGCCGTACGAGGTGTTCAATGGCCTCGGCAAGCGTCCAGACGCATCACGTGCTTTGGAGCAGCTGGCTGTAGCACATGTCCCGTGCGGCAGCGGCAATGGACTAAGCTGCAATATCAATGGAAGCCACAAGGCCGGCCCGGCCGCGTTGGCCATTATAAAGGGTGTGAGAACACCAATGGATCTCATGAGCATCACCCAAGGTGACCAGCGGATCCTAAGCTTCCTGAGCCAGTCCTTTGGTATCGTTGCCGAATGCGACTTGGGAACTGAGAACCTTCGCTGGATGGGCCCAGCCAGGTTCGACCTTGGCGTCGTGCAGAGGATCTTTACGAGGAAGACGTGGCCAGCTGAAGTGTCCGTGAAAACAGCCATTGCGGATAAGAACGAGGTCAAGTCCTTTTACAAGCATGGGAGAGGCCAGGACTACACCGTTCGACGAACTGGCACTACTGCCGACAATGAAGTGCAGCCAGGCCAAGGTCTCCCGCCTCTCAAGTATGGTACCATTCATGACGAGGTGCCCGAGGACTGGGAGACAACCACATACGATAAACTGGGCAACTTTTACTGCGGCAACATGGGATACATGGCCCCAAATGTCAACTTCTTCCCTGCTGCGCTACCCAACGACGGACACATGGATCTGATTATCAGCAATGGTGACATTTCCGTCATCAAATATATTGAGCTCATGACGGCCATCGAGAGTGGAAAACATTATGACAACCCATTGTTATCGTATCGCAAGGTTTTGGCGTACCGCCTCACACCAAAAAAGAGCGAGGGCTACATCAGCATCGATGGCGAGCGCATCCCATTTGAGCCTTTTCAGGTTGAAATACACCCCGGACTGGCCACGGTCTTGTCAAAGAATGGCCAATTCGAGGCTCCAGGCCCTCTCGGGTGGGAAAAGGCCGAACCTAGCACCAGCATCTCGGCGTAATATCTGCACACGAGATTCGGATTGGCCGAAACCAAGAGCGAAAGCAAACGAATCAGTTTTGAGTGTGAACAGCGACGGCAGAAGAACTTTTGGCAGAAAGAATCAACAAGGTAAAGATGTAAGATAAATTCGGAACTCTGAAGCAGTTGCAAGATACCCCCATATAGAGTATTGAGATAGCCAGTGTCCAGCGACTGTTTGGTTACTGCAATGGAAGTAATTATTTAGCGAGACAATTGCCTTGGGTATTGAGCCATGCCCATAGTAAATATCTAGAACTGTGATCTGACAACAAACGCCGAAACTCCACCAATGATAAGGGGGCCGCTCTCTAAAAGTCGTTCTTTATAAGGATACCTCAATCCCGGAAGCCGCCCCAGCCATCTTCTTCCTGATCGCTGTCGTCGTCCATCTCGTCGTCCTCTTCGTCGTCCGCCTTCTTGGCATTCCAGGGTAATCTGTCGTCCTTTCGGCTCTCTTTCGCCTTTGATTTGACCGGAGTCACGGTGTTTTTGATCATCTCGTCCAGTATGGCTTTGAAGTCTGTGAGGAATTCTGCGTCCTGCTCCGTGGCATCGTCGCTAAGGAAGCCGGCCTTTTCAACCTCGTCGACCCAAATATCCAAGACGTGCAACCTCAGGCCGACGGGGACTCTCTTGAGATCGCCTGAGGTCTCGAGAGGCCACTCAATGAACAAGCCGAGCATGTCGGCCTTTCTCTTGGCGGCCTGCTTGCCCTTGCCCTCGCGCACCCAGACCAGGCTCTTGGCAAAGACCCTTCTGACCAGCAGCAAAAACTTTTCGAGGCGCAAGACGTCGATGCCGGTCCACTCACGGCTCATGACGTCCCAGAAGCCGGTGAACCAGGGGGCGACGGCGTCGTCGGGCAGCACGTCGGCCAGGGCGGCCAGCTCGGCGCACAGGTTCTGCTGCGGGATCGGCCGGTCGCACATGTACAGCGAGTAGAACAGGCCCTTCCAGAGCTTGAGGTTGTCGAGGGCCGACAGCGAGCGCGACGTTGTGCTCGCGGTCAGAAAGGTGCGCAGCGTTTCGATCGACTTTTCTCGGGCTTTGCGGTCTGTTTGGTAGGCAACGACGAGGGAACAGTCAGCTTTTCGGTGCTCACGACTGGTGATGAGGAGCGTTGCGTATATGAAAAAAAAGGATTCTCTAGTGACATGTCACAAAGTTTGGGAATACATACCGCTTGATGCCAGGTTCTTGATGAACGGCATGTTCCTCTCTTCGCCTGCCATGGTGGGCGTTGGTGATTGTGTGTCTGGGACGCTACAGTCCAGGCAACAACGAGTATCTCAGTGGTCGCAAGACTGAAAATATGGCCCAGCAAGGCTGATTGGGTGTAATGTGACAATGTCTGGTTGTCAAGATCGTCGTTGCTGTTGTCGTCACCTCAGTCGTCGCAGGACTTCTGTTCTGCACTGTAATAACTGATCGCTACTAATTATTTTTCCCGAGCGCTGCTGCTGCTGCTGCTCCCCCAGACAAAAATTTTGGCCCCGCGATCTGGACCGCGGAAGAGGTTCCGCTCCCCGCGCTACTCTTAGTGTTCCAGAATAAATATACTCTGTAGCTTGACCAATTGGCCACTAGAAATCTGCTTTCACGACAAAGAATATCAAGTTTTATATATTGTAATGTCAATGGCTGTTCCATAAGAACGGTATGGCAATTTGTGCTCAATGTTTTCTGTTCTGGTTCATCAAATGCTCATGCATTAAATGCCCTCTTGAAATGAATACGGCAATACAAATATCAACCTGCCGTACTGCTACCATACGGATTCAGCCAAAAAAAAAAAAAAAAAAAAAAACAAATTGAAGCTTTTGGTCTTCATTGCTATCATTCCTATCAACAGGGTAAGCCAGCGGGTAATAGACATAAACTCCCCCTCCGCAGTCCCTGGCAACCTCGTCCTGTCGAGTCCTGAGATGGAGTAACAGCTCTGCCGTCGTCAGACTGGCGGACAAGTGATAGCAGAAGTATTGTGCAACTAGGAAACTCGTGGTCCAACGCAGCACGTCTGCCATTCAAGCTTCTGCCTGTATGGACCAAAGCAGCAGCCAAGAATACGAACATGGACAGCAGTGTATATATGATGCGCCTTGGCACCAAGACAGAGAAAAGCCACCGCCACGATCCTTATACAAGCCTTGTCATACGGAATACTTCGTACACTATTCCCAAACCGTTCCGTGTCAAGTCATTGCCCTGAATCCACCATACGATCTGGGCAATCCAGCAAGGATTGAATATAATCCCGATGTACTGGGACCGTAGATCGTCAGCAAATGCACTCAATGCACTCCTGGTTGCCGATCTCCTATCCTAGAGTATTTTTGGACGAACAATAATTGCCAAGGTGGGCTTTGCTCCTGCAAGCCAGGAAACGCAAAACTTCTTCTTGCTATCATTGAGGAACCTCGCACTCGCTTCCAGCCCAGGCAGCCGGATTCTTCCAACAAGGGATCCGAATGCCTGCTGGGATTAAACAAGCAGCCCAATCAGAGCTACGCTTGAAACGTAAGTGGATGACACTAGGCTGTCGTGAGCTTTTCGGTCTTCGGTTCTCATGCTTTTCGGTTTTCGTGTCTTCATATCCACACTCGCGACCTACGAGCGCCAAGTGCCTCGAACAGTTGAGATTCTTCAAATCGATTCGCAGCCTCGTTTAGTGGCATCCGCAATCTTCGTGGATCAAAACTAGCTATAAGCCATGACGGGGATGAGGGACACGCGTAATCTGTAGAAGCGGGAGAGAAACTCCCCGAATGCCACGCAGGATGTGTTCAGACGTCAGAAGTCTTTCTCTGTGGTGTGTAGTAAGGCTGGTGGATCAGATTAGAGACCTGATCCGCGACGGATTCGGCAGCAAGTCATCATGTTTAAGCCTCTTTGAGATGGACGACCACTAGTGTTCCAGACCATGGGAGCCGCTCATTGGCCGGCTCGTAAGGATACTCGACACGCTGCTCAAAAAGTCGAGCCGTAAATCCGTAAAATCCAGCTGCCCAGTCGCATGTCAATGCAATCTCAGCCCATGATGACAGATGGATGGCGGTGCATCATCTAAAAATTCTCCTTGCTTTGCTGCAAAGCCCAAAGGAGGCGGAGCGAGGAGACGACGTGTATCGATAACAACCTTACTGAATGCATTTCTCTTGTCAGTCAGTAGTGTACTATAACTTTGCTCTCGGTCGCTACAGAAATCCGATCAGAGAGGTAGGTATATATCACATTTTAGACTCCTCATAACTTTTATACAATAGATTGACCTCCTCACCAGCAGCGGCGATAATCTTCTGAAAAACTTTTCTGTGAGCAGTCGACTTGACGACATTTGCTCCGGCGTCGCTTACCTACCTACCTACCTACCTACCTAGGGCTTTGGTCACCACCATACCATATCAACCCATTGATACATCATATAATTGATCCAAGCGACATCGGGGAAATGTCGGACACAAACGAAACCTTGAGGCAGAGCATTTTCAATGACTGCAAAGACTACATCGACATTTACCCAGACATTTGCAGCTATGACGATTCATTCTATGGCTACAGAATTTGGATTGTCCCCAACGCAATCTTTCTGGGCCTATTTTCCCTTTCCTTTCTCGGTTTCGCCGGCGTCTTTGTTCTCACCCGCTTCCGCAACGTAGGCTTCTCCGTCGCCATGTTGCTGGGCGTGCTGGGCGAAATTCTGGGCTACGCTGGCCGGGTCATGAGCTGGCAAGACCAATGGAGTGAAAATGGTTTCCTGATACAAATATGCTGCCTGACCATTGCTCCTGCTTTTCTGGCCGCTGGCATTTACTTCTGTCTGAGAAATATTGTGGTGGCTTTTGGAGCCCAGAACTCGAGGATAAAGCCTACATGGTACCCGCGAATTGTAAGTCGTACTTGTGTTCCTACTCTTTCTCTACGGAATGCCCCGTATACTCATTGCCCCTTGCACAGTTCATCCCCTGCGATGTCATCTCCATTGTTCTGCAGGCCATCGGCGGTGGCATGGCGTCCGTGGCTAGCCAGAACAACGAAGATGTCACGCCTGGCAATAACATCATGATTGCCGGTCTCGCCTTTCAGGTCGTCACGCTGTTTGTGTTCATCGTACTGGCCAGCGACTTTGCCATCCAGACCCTCCGCAACCCCCGAAACCTCAACAACGACCCGGCCCTGGTGTCGCTGCGTACCTCGCTGCGCTTCCGCCTGTTCCTGGGCGCGCTTAGTCTGAGTACCATTTGCATATTTTGGCGGTGCTGCTTCCGCGTCGCCGAGCTCAGCGACGGGTGGACCGGTCCCGTCATGAAGGCGCAGAACTTATTTGTGGGTTTCGAAGGCGTCATGGTCATTGTTGCCGTTCTGGTGCTCAATGTGTGGCACCCCAACATCTGCTTTAGGGGTATGGAGAACTACCTTCCCCAGAAGAAGGGTTCCAAGACCGAACTCAAGGAATTCTCGGCCTCACCCAGCGAAGACGAGCGAAGATGAGATGTTGTTTGAGGGTGGTGGTAAAATGACCCAAGATGATTATACAGAGATGAACAAGAATAAAGAGCGACATAGGTCGGCCGAGCTGATGAGGCTCACGAAAGGTTCCTATTCGGCTGGCAATGGGTCTCTGCTGAACGCATGAGGTTCCTTCATGATTTCGTTTCAATTTTTCAAAATACATTTCTAAAGCGCGCGAGTCCCCAAAGTTGATACAGATAAATGACAAATCCATATCGATGGTGATCATAAAACAACATTCCCAGCTGACACATCACCACCATCAGGTGCTTGGCATGTATGTCTGTGTGAAAGTCTCTTGAGCGTTGATTCATTCATCGCCGATGGAGTTTATGATATCACTCAATCAAAAAGTATGCAGATATGATTTGAAAGTACGCCATACTGGCGGTCTGTATTCTAGGTGCGAACGAAGCAAAGAAATGGCATGGGACCTTTCGTGTTTTGCGCATGCACGGAGAAAGGTGATGGCCAGAAAGGTGGCGCATGACATGGCGCCAAAGCCTGGCGCGAATAGGCTTCGATAACACAGATTCCTTTATCCTGGAGTCACGATATGCCCGAAAACAATGTCTCCCATGGGAAGAAGCGTCAGGAAATTTTCCCAATCGGTACCTTGCAGTCACTTATGAAAACTATTTTAGAAGAAGCTTTTTGACTAGAAAGCCCTGGTGATTGATATTATCTGTACCTGGTTGAAAGCTGCCTACCTACACCCCAACTAAATGCCTGCTACAGACTCGTCAAAGACGCTGCTAAGGCTGTTCAGATACTCAATGATGCGGTCGCCCCGTTTAGAAGAGAGAGAGAAAAAGAGAGAGATAGAGAAAAGAAGAGAGAAGAGAGAAGAGA